TTTTACTGATGTTAACCTTCACGATTCTGGTTCCTAAATCAACTCCAACCATACTGCCATCTACGGAAACCAACTTTCCTTTTATCCATTTTCCTCCATGTGAACCGTCTGATTTGATTTTTGATTTGTCTTCGGTCCAATAGTAAACCTTATCTCCAGGAAAGAATGGTCCATCACTAAGTTGAAGTTTACTCGCAATATCTCTTCGAAGGTCATCAGATTGTTTTGCCTCTAGAAACTTTCGCATCGCCAGTGACTGTAGTGCTTCAATCTGTCTCTCAGGAGCAGGGGCCTCAGTCGTGAGCTGTGCTGGATTCATGAGCTCAATCGCCGTAAGATCGGCAGGTCTTCTGCCAAATGCTAATTCAATAGGAGTGACACCACCGAGTGTTACCATGGTGTTCCTTGAAATGCAGGCTTGTCTCAACAACTGTTGATAAGTAATGTTAGCAAGCAATGGATCATCTTTCAAGGAAATTAGCATTAATGAGACCTGTTTCTTAAACATGCGAATGGCTGCCTCAGCTCGATTTGGCCATGGTGTTCCTGGTCCTAGAGAGATTGGCCTGATGCTGTGCCGGTTGTAGTAACTCTCCATCTCAGTGCCCATAAAAGCTTGATCGGCAACAATGTATTTTGGATTCAGCTGATAAGTTTCAAAGTATTCTTGAAGATGAGAAATCGTCACCGGATCAGATCTGTTTTGAACTACAAAAGCAGTAGTCAAAGAGGTTGCACCGTCATACATAAGTAGGAATTGAAGTTTTGACTGTTGATTGATCGGAACTTCTCCATGATCAATGAAGGTAAGTTCACCAAAGACTTCACTTCGGATTCCTGAAACCTTAGCTCTCGATGGTGCAATCCTGGCAGTGGAACATGTGTCACATGATTTTGTAATCTGATCAAATTTGTCATAAATTTCTTTCGGCAACTTCAGAGCTGATGTTCTTCTCTTGAATTGTTCAGTAGTCATATGATAATGCTTCAGATGCAACTTTAGAAGTTCTGTGGGTGATTGAAGCTTGTCATGAATTCTCTGAAGTGCAAGTGACAAAGTTCCCTTAGGTGATGGTTCCTTTTTCTCTTCAAGTTTTACTTCAACCTTGGATTCCGGTTTGACTTCAGTTTCTTCTTCAATCTGAGGTTCCCGACGTCTCGGGATACCGTCCTTCGAACCGGAACTTGGCCCAGAGGCCACCATTGGCTCTTCATCGGGATCAAAAGGTTGAGCTGGTACTTCTAACTTACTATCAGGCTGAATTGTTTTCTTGACAATCTTCTTGGAATCAGGCTTGGCCGGTTTCGGCACCTCTGCTGGCTTAGGTTCTGATCCCTTGAATCTCTTGCAACCTTCTTTGTTGGTGTGTGGTCGATGTTTACCATTGCATGCTGGGCATGTGATGTCTTCGGACTGAAAGCTGTACATCGGTTTCCAACTGGAAGTAGCAAGAGCCATAATGTCAAGGACTGGATGGTTGGATGTACTGACGGCCAATGCGGTGCGTTGCATTCCAAACAGTGGACAAGTCATGAACTCACTCCTCTCAATGTTCATGCGAAGATTCCTCATTTGTTCAACTGAAAAGAGGATAGGAACCTTACCTTTGTCCAGGATGTCAACGCATGTTGTAATCCAACCCGTTTGTGCACGATCATTGCGAAAATGAATCACTAACCTTTCTTTGACAGTAGATTGTTCTCCATTGGCAAATGAAAACTTACTTGAACACGGTTGCTTGGAAAACCATATATGATCACGCTTGGGATGTTGTTGGCAAGCCTGTACAAGGCGATCAATGGCAAAGCGGGATCCCATGGCTCGAGTGCAACCTGAATCAAGAATGACATAAGTCGGATGAGAACTTAGATCTACATATTCACAAAGCAATGCTTGTTGGGCACCATGATCATAATTTCGGAATACACACTCTTCCGTTGAGACGGAATCGAGCGGGCTTGTGCGCGGCTGAAACGAATGCAGATCACCGTTTCCGGTAGAAACACTCTTCTCAACTTGGCGGATGCTCTTCAATAGGGACCTGTTCAAATCAGAAAAGCACTGGTACATCACAGACACGAACAGAAGCACGAATGTGAGGGCCTCTACAAGTTCGTGTCCGAACAATCGGAACAAGCGGATGCCTGAAAAACAGAACCGGTTGATCTTGTCGGTCTGTCCGTCCTCGAAATTGACGTCTGAATGCTTGTCCTCGGAGTCGGTCAGTTCCTCAGCGGAAACAAAATACGACCAATTGTACCAATCACCTTGGGAGTAATCTCCGTCATATCCATAGTAGGATTCATAACCTGACCAGTCATCTGTCCAGTAGGTGTCATAGTCGTAACTCCAGCTTTCTTCGGCATGGGCTGTTTCTTGTTTTTCAGGGGCTTGTGATGCACTGGATGATGCAGCCTGTGCTACATTAGCTTGTGGAGGTTGTGACAAAAATGGATTAGTTCCTCCTTTGTTCTTCGCATCACCTTTTCCTTTTCCTTTCCATGAAGGCATTCCTTTGAAAGAATCCTTTCCTTTCATCATTCCTTTCTTGCCCTTTTTACCTTTTCCTTTGCCCTTGCCTTTTCCCCAGAAAGCTGTGTCTTGCTGGTCATCTTCCCATGCTGCAAAACCTTTGCCTTTTGACCTCGAGCGGAAGCCGGGTCTTGATTTCTTTCCTCCTTTCTTGCCATAACCTTTTGGTCTACCTTTCTTGAAGGACCTGCCGTAGATGCGGCGCTTAGAGTATGAACCCTTGGCGCTGAGAACCCAGAACTCGTTCTCGGTGTACAGACCTGTGAAACCTTCTTCACCCGTCTCTTCATCGAAACCCAAAATCCGTACTCACCTTCTTCGGTCTCGCCCTCGTCGATGACGTAGAAGTTGGACCGCTTGCGGTGCGTGATATTTGGGTCTGCAACACCTGTGCGGGAAACGGCAAAAAGTTCTAAGAACAGCTGTTTCACTTGGAGATAGGTGTATTGAGGCATTGCGATCTGACGGATGTTCATGGACGAGACAAAACGCTCTCGTTGTTGCTCGTTGAGGTCTGCTTGCACTAGAAAAATCAGTGACATCAAATTGTCTGACAACGGAAACTGCTGTGCATGTCTGGTCCTTCTGTTGGTTATGGTCTGTTCTCTCAATTCTTGTTGATAAGCTAGCTTATCTTCATCTGTTACTATTCCATTATAGTGCAGTCTTTGCTCATCTGTGAGTGCTGCCGTAAATGCCTGAGTGCCTGCTTCGGGAAGATCGGATATGTCCAGCAGATCGGACCAAGAAGCCAACAAACGCTTCTGCGCGATCTCAAATCGCCCTATCCAGTGCACGAATTCGCTCTGGCCTCGATATGTGCGAAACATCTGGAGGAATCGCCAAAGGAACACATGATTTACTCCCTTCACGAAGTATGGTCTCAATGTGTCCTTGAAATGAGCGAGGCCACGATCCGGATCTCGGAGTAGGGCATTATCGAGCATCGACTTATAAAAAGAAGCGGAACCAATGAGGGCATTCTTTAATGATGGTCCGTGTTTATCTGCATCCAATGTTGTGATCCCTAACCAGTCATCAATTAAATCTTCATATTCAAACCAGCTTGATTGGCCATCAAATTGGGGTGGAACCTTCGGTGTCATTTTGATGCCCATCCGGTTTTCGGAATGACTGGTGGCGGCATATGCTTCAGGCTCTTCATAAGAGACAATCTGGAGTTGTTCTTCATCTGAATCCATGTTGTGGATTAAGACCATGGCAGCTACTCTAACTTGACCTACAGGTTGCCTCCGCAAGTCCGATATACGGAATGTATGCAGAGAACGGCAGTTCGGCACACGGATCTAGACTTGGCGAAGGCACAGGCTCCGCTACCACTTTGAGGTAGCAATCCCTCTGTTAGGGGAGCCCTGGAAACTAGTATACAACACCTGCGGACAAGAAGTGGCTGCTGCACTCTTTTTCTATGCTGCGGAATTGCTGCTAGTCTTGAGCCACGCGGAGTGCGCATGAAAGATATGAATTAGGTGTACATGTCAACATGCACGAATGCATTGTGGAGACACGTAAAACAAAATAAATCACACCCCCCCCCTCCCCCTCCCCCCGTCTCCCCCCCCTACCCGCTTCGGCACCTCTCCGCCCTTCTTCCCCCCCCGGACCCCCTTCGGCACCGTTCCCCAGCGGCCCTGCCATAGAGTCCTCGCGCGGACGTGGGCCGAAACAGCGGGTGAACACACCCCCGGCCCCCAGACCCCCACAGTTAAACGGGAACCCTTCGCTCCGCATTCGGGAAAAAGACACAGCATTTGATATCAAGCTTGGAAGATGGCATTCCCCAAAACTGAAATTTGTTTCCAATATTGACTCATTTCTTTGGTGAGCCAATGTTCTGACTGGGCCATTTTGGGTCAAGGTGTCAGTTGCACAGACAAGATCCATGCAATCCATGTTGCATGGCTGAGACTCGTCATGGAGCAGCGAAACGTGCATGGATGAACGGTATGAAGACACCACAGATGGCCGGTGAAACAGTTGCGCCATGTTGCGCCTTTTGGGTGTCAATCCGAATAAAACATCCACCTAGACTCTAGACATCTCTAGACTCTCCAATTACCGACAAAGATGGTGTTTTAGCACGTTTTAGCCGATATGTATTCATATGTTCAATATTTCTTTACCCTATTTTTGGGGAGATTTGGATACACGTGTGGGATCACTATTTTATTATTTTGGGGTCCCCCCTGGGCCCATAAAGCTTGAAGCACCACCAAGTTTTTGCGCATCGATTTTGGTGCTTAAGAAACGTCATTGCCATAATTCAAGGATAACCATTCCATAGTACCCCCACAATTTTGTCGGCCAAAAAGATCATAAGTTACCCTTCCCAATTGGAATCACATCGTATACTTTTTCTGCATCTTTTTCTTATGGTGGCCTCCCCAAATGAAAGAACCGTTGAAGCTTCAGCCGACAGCATCCGACAGCCCAGCCGTAGTCAACCCCCAACGCACCGCATCGCAACGCTTCGCACGAGCCATGCCTGGTCCTGAAGCGCGCGCCGTGCCGTGCCCGCTCTGTAACGAGAAGTTCTTTCCGGCCTGGGCACCTGGAGAACAGGGGGGGAAAACCGATGGAAGTTTTGGGTCAGGGGAGTTATTAATTGGAAACTCATTGAGAAATCATGGGGATCATGTGGAACACCACGAACCATCAAGGATGCAAGATTTTCAGGAACATGTGGAGATATCATCAAACATGATGATTTTTATTTCATTAAGAAGGGATATCATCAACAATAAGGACTTGACTCTCAAAAATGGTGCCCCAGTTCGTTAGATTACGTTGGTTTCTTACACCCATTTTTCCACTCTAACTTTTTGGGGGCACAGGGCGGCAAAAACATTGTAGGGCGTTCCGATCAATGTGCCCTTCAGCCTTCCCTGAAATTTTAGTTTGGTCTGAAAATAGGGGATACCGGAAAATCCAGGAAAATCCATGCATCATCAAATCATTGTTATGTTTCCCAGGTTCCCATCCCATTTCAATAGACACAAAAATGTGGTATCCAGGGCCTTTTAGCCAACCGAACTCTAGGCCGTTTTCTAGGCCTTGGAGCTGCTACAGGATGACATGACATCACAGGTTTTTAAGTGACCAAAATATGGCGTAGATTCAATGGATTGGTTTAAGGGAAAATCTACAGGAAACCATGGTTTTTACCATCAAATATAGGGGTTTCCTGTAAATTTTCCCGTCATCCAATTCTATGATAGATTTGTCAGAAAAAGTGGACCTCCGGCAATCCCCTTGCTCCAGGAGTCCGACGTTGCGGTCCGAATTGTTCTTGGGGGGTTAGGGGCCTAGATGGAGGTTTCCTAAGTCATGGGGGTACCCCCAGTTCTCATCCATTTTAGATTGGGATTTTCCATTATAAACCATCCATTTTGGGGATCCCCCATTTATGGAAACCCCCAGATGACTCAAACCAGTTGGTTTTTCTCCTGAACATGTGGTATCCTTACAATCCCCTCATTTGGACCATGTTAAAACTTCATTATGTCCACATGAAGATGGCCACAGGTTGTAGGAAAATCATGGAAAATCCCTATGGATCCCAAACCCTTGGTCGCCCAAGCGAGGCTTCTTTGAAGTTTCATCAGAAGCAATGTGAAAAGAAGCGAGCTACAAGGCTTGGGAGAAGATTGAGATGGATGATTTGGGAAGTCTGACCACGGGATACAAGGTATACTGAGAGGGTTTGTCAGGAAGTAAACAAATCATATATCATTTGGCTATGAATCAATACCTATAGATACTTTGTTAGGGGATGAACATCCATAAATCCCAGCTATTTTGATGTTAGGGGAAAAGGGTTTGGACTCATAGCTTATATTAGTGATAAGCCATAGATCGAGTTTGTTTTTTGCTGTTTTTGTTTTTTTTAAATGGGGCATGGCATTCTGACCAAGTACTCGTTTTTTGCTGACATGAAAATCCATGAAAATCGATCTACATCGACGATAAACCTAGTTCTGCCCTCGATGCTTATGATGTGACTTGGATTTCCCTGACCTCGGACACAACACCAATATGAAGCACCCCTAAATGGGTCCCTTTATTATGTGTAATCTACTGTTTCTGGTCAATCTTGGGATGGTTTCTGCAGTTTCAATCCGGAGTTTTGGTGAAGTCCGCAACCTTTACTCTCGATACCCCCATGTACTGAATATATCCAATCGGATAGACCCCATGACTATGTTTACCACCTAAGAATCGCCAAACAATCCACTACTCACGGCCAGAATCCTTCTTCTTGACGGTCAAACTCTATTAAATCATATTAAATCCATCTAAAAATCCTTAGGTTTTGATATGAGCAAGCGTCAAACCTCGCGGAGACTAAGATAATCTAAGATATGTATTGGCTGGACATTGGTTTTCATGTGACATCCCCATTTGTTCAGAGGTCAAGTGCCCATTTGTTTCGCCGAAGCGTGAGGATAGTGAACTGCCCCTACTGCAAGATCGAGGTGAGCCAGCTGAAGCTCCCCGAGCACATCGCACGCCGTGGTGGCGGAAAGAAAACCGGGGATGTTGAACTCAGAAATCCCAGAAACATGTGCGATTTATGGATGATTTATGGATGATTTATGGATGGTTTCTGGATGATTTATGGATGATTTAGGGATGATCTATATATGTTTTTTAACGATTATGATTCTTATAATGATTATTTGAGGGTTTTTAAGCGAAACGTATGAGATTTAGATGCCGATGTATCACGTCAACATTCCCATCATCGGGGATGAGCTCATGGCCTCGGACCACGGGATTTGTGGCTTGAAGTCTGAAGATCTTGGGGAACAGCCCTACCCTCTGGTAATTTAACAGTTTGCTATTGAAAATGGCCATTTATAGTTGATTTGCCCATTAAAAATGGTGATTTTCCATAGCTATGTTAATTTACCAGAGGGTAAATCTGATGGCTTGGAACATGTTTTTCCCCGTTTTTTTTGGGGAACTTGCTGTTGGTTCTGTTTCGAAAGTGGCTGGTAGCCCCCAAAATGGATGCGTTTACTCCTCGCCCGTCAATTCCAAGTGGTGGGTTGCTACAAGCTCAGTGTGAATTTCAGGACCCTAAATTATTAAATTGAAGGTACTGTCTGTACCAGAGTTTTTGTAAGGCCAATAAAAGGCCATAATTTGTGGGTCTGGTTGGTGGTTTCAATCATGAATTTTATTTTCCATTTCATATATGGGATGTCATCATGCCCATTGACTTTCATATTTTTCAGGATGGTTAAAACCACCAACCAGGGGTATATTCCCCTAAAAAAGATGGTAGGTACCTCCAATTTAGGTCCACGGCTGAGCTGTCTAGCAGCTTGGCGACTAAGGAATTGTCCGCAGTGCAAGAGTAAGCTGGCAGCAAAAACCCGCCGGTGTGGCGGAGAAATCGGGGGGTTTGGGGGAGAAAAATAATCCACTAGGAATGACGTTGACATAGAGATTAATCGCTGCTTGGTGGTTTGGAACATGAATGGATGATTTTTCCATTCAGTTGCGAATAATAAGATCAACTGACGAACTCCATCATTTTTCAGAGGGGTGGCTCAACCACCAACCAGATCGTATGGGGTAGATGAACCATATATGGAGCTATAAAGCCAACAATAATTCAAATATTCTGGGGATGTAACATGATGTAACCACCTATTTCGGATATTTGAGGTTGCTCCAACCAACTTGGGGCTAAATGATGGGACATGGGACATTTTGCTTAGTGACCCTGGTTCCCCCCGTTGTATCTGGAGTGTTGGGAGAGCAACCCTGGGTGACAAATTTGATGGTTGATGGCCCCGTTGGGGATCATCATAATCCAAGTCCGCCACTTTTGGACACAGATACTACTGGCCTCTGAGCCTTTAGTTTTTGTTCGCAATCTGCGGGTGATTTGGGTTTCTCAACAAAGGTCTGACTTTATACTCTTCGGTGGTTTTTTTTAGAAAAGAAGGACACCCATTTCCATCCCTGTTTGGGAAGAATCTGTCCTCGGAGGCATTGGAAACTGGCCCTATAAGTTTGATCTTGTAACCCTGAGGTCTCCCATTTCTTTCACATGATCCCCATCATGGGGCAACATGAACACCATTTGGTGCACCTGATATGTCCATTGGATGAAGATGCAGGAGCCACTTGCCATCATCACGTGGACTATCATCATCTATCACTTTTTTCATCGTTTTTCAGTTTTTCCCAGAAATTATCCTAGTGATAGATAGTGTTTTAATAAGTGAATCCTAGTGACTTATCTGATCTGTAAATAGTGTCATGTTAAATACATCATGGATGATCCTAGTGACTCTAGTGACTTATCTGTAAATCCATGAAACTCCTCGTCACCAACCATCCCCAAAGTGTGGAAAAATCGGATCGCCGTCCATCTCAGAACCTGGCACCTCCGGCGGCGGCGGCGGCAACGGCGGCAATGGCGGTGACGCGGGAGTCAGGCAACATCCGAGTGGCGGGATTCGCGACCTTTGGGGATAATATGGGGGTTTCTGGTTGGTGGAACATGAATGGATGACATGACTTTCCATTCAGTTGGGAATGGAATAATCATCCCAACTGGGTTTCAGTCCATCATTTTTCAGAGGGGTAGGTATACCACCAACCAGTTTGTATTTACATAGCCTTTACAAGGAAGCCCTAGTGATGGTGGGATGATGCCCCAGTAGACCAATGCTTTGACCATGGCACATATGGAGGTTTCCTAAGTCATGGGGGTACCCTCCAATCATCAATTTTTGTAGGATTTTCCATTTTTAGGGGATTTTATAGTCTATCCCCAACTGAAAAGGATGATAATAGTCACATCCCTAAGGATTCCAATATCAATAATCATTACCATGTAGAGTCGGGAACTTGAATGATCAGATCCAAGCATGCAGCCCATCCCCCATCCCCATCCCCATCAATGTTGGCCTGTAAGATGATTTGGGATGATTTGACTTTTTGGCTGGAGAAGATTCTGGGGTCGTGATGTTTTTGGCCAAAACATGCCAAAACAATTTACAGGACCCACAAATTGAAGAACTCGGGTTTGCCACACAAACTTCACCTCAACTCATAGTGACAAGTGACAACCCTAATTTTCCTGCCAAATTCTCATGAAACCGTTCGGGCTGGTTGGTGGTTTCAAACATTTTTCATTTTCCATTTCATATATGGGATGTCATCCTTCCCATTGACGAACTCATATTTTTCAGAGGGGTAGGTATACCACCAACCAGTTTGTAAGGCCAATAAAGATCATAAAGGCCATAATTTGTGGGTATATTCCCCTAAAAAAAGATGGTAGCTACCTCCAATTTAGGTCCAATGTTAGGTCCAACCAGAGGGTAAGGCCAATGGATCTCACCCTGATGAAACCCTGGATTTCACATGCTGGGTCTGCTGCCAGGCGTCCCTCTGGTGGTCCCTCGGGTCGACCGGCACCCTCGGGAGCTGGGCAGTACGACGCTTCAGCGAAATCGATGGCTGGAGGGTGGGTAAATGGGGATGAAACCAACTAGATATGGGATTTTTATGCGAAAAAATGGTGGGGAGTAGGGATAATTGATAAGGATCCCCCAAATGATAGGTAAGTCACCATGAAGTGGGATAAAATGAGGATATGATGAGTTCGAACAAACATTTAGCCAATGAATGATAGGTAAGTTGGTGTATAACTACAATGATTCATTGAAGGTACACGTGTTTGTTATCTAAGTTAGTTAACATCAATAGCGGATGGATTTATGGTGGATACATCGTGCACAAGTTATAGAGCCCAACTTACCCTCTGGTAAACTAACATAGCTATGGCAAATCACCATTTTTCATGGGAACATCCACTATTAACAGAGGGTAAAAATGGAGGGTGCCCATTTCGTGCGTTGACCCGACCTGTTTTGGCGTGTTACGACTGGGCTGACCCGGCTGACCCTCCAAGATATCCAGGTAGCCTCTGGTAAACATACACATAGCTATTGAAAATGGCCGAGTCGAAATAGTGGATTTACCCATGAATAATGGTGATTTTCTATACTGTAGTTATGTGAACGTTTACCAGAGGATAACATGTTTTTTTTTGAGTTTCCCAGATCTTTTCCCAGTTTTCTTTTGGTGTGCACCGAAATGACCATGGCTATTCATGGCCCAGCACCCAAATCCATATTTTGGGTTCCCCTTTCAATGTCCATATGAGGGCTCCCAGGGGCCACAGTTTGGGTTGAACTAATTCAACATCACTTGAAACCGTGGTGAAATATCGAAACCAGTTCTTGATTTCCCCAATTTGAGTGATGGGTGCACTACCCTCTGGTAATTTAACATAGCTATTGAAAATGGCCATTTATAGTGAGTTTTCCCATAAAAAATGGTCATTTTCCATAGTTACGTTAGTTTACCAGAGGGTAAGAGTTGACTCTTTGCCAAACATGGCGTGCTGTGCTTCCAGATCCCCCTGCGTGATGGTGGATTGCTACTGGATACCAACCAGGATTTGCTCAACAAAAACTGGGCGACCAAATTTAGAGTGGTGATGTAAACAACACATATCACATCATCTAAATATTTGGTTATCACCTAATTATATAATGGTTGTCTGATGTTGTCTGTTTTCTTTAAAAAAATCTCATGTTTGAGACTAGGTTGGCTTGGCTTGCGAAGGGGGTTGGTCCCTTTTTGGGTGACATCTTTGTGGCCTGGGATGGCCACGGGACTCCTTTGGGCTTCACTGTCCAATGGGATTCCAATGGGTCCCGGGTGTTATAACCTGGGAGAATCTTGGTGCAGTCTTCAAGCTCGCAAGCTCGGAAAGGCTGCGCTTCGGCTATCTTCGGCCCAATTCCAATGGTTCAGAAGCTCATTTTCCCTATTGAAGTGGCCATCATACACTACAAACATAACAGTTTGTAGATGCTTGTGGATGCAATCCCCAGTTGTAAGAGACTCATTACCCTCTGGTAATTTAACATAGCTGTTGAAAATGACCATTTATAGTTCATTTACCAACTAAAAATGGTGATTTTCAACAGCTATGTTAGTTTACGAGAGGGCATATTATATAAATCATTGTTTAATCATTGAATCCCATCATTCCCATTCATTCCCATTCATTATCCCATTAAATCCTATTGTATTCTCATTGTGCTGGTTATATCCCCCATCAAACGGATCTACATAACATGATGTAACATGATTCAAAAAAAAAACCTGATTCTAAGTGGCATAAAACATCATAAAACATCATAAAACATAACATGCATACCCCCCTTGTCATCAAACATGGCTAGCTGTACACTTCCCCATGAATGATTTGTCAATTCTTTAAGTTTTCCATGGCTAGTTCACGGATTTCCCAGCGGCCATGTTTGATGACCAAAAGATCATATCCCTCTGGTTATGTCAACAGTTTGCTATTGAACATGGCCATAGTTATAGTGGATTTTCTGATGAAAAATGGTGGATCTTTCCATAGTTTTTTGTAGGTTTACCAGAGGGTATCCCAATTGTGATTATCCCATCTTTGCCCGATTATATCATCACATATCATCACTATATCCCATGAAATCTCATTGTTATCCCATACTGTGGGGCCCTCCTGTTATAAGTTGGCCTGTAAACCCCAGTGACTATAGTTGTAAGCATCATAGCTCATAGTTATCGGAGTAATGTTCACCAACTTATCGTAAACGGGGGGCCTCACCTTGCGTCACGCTACTCATTATCATCCCGTTATATCCTATTAAATCCTATTAAAATATAGGATATTCCCATTTTGCTGGTTATATCAGATAGTTTTGAAGGTAATCCTATGATTCTCCCATGTCAGCTTATATCGCAGATTATACACCCTATAACTCAGTTCTTGATTGCTTAAATATGGAGGTTTCCGGCCATGGGGGTACCCCAAAATGGATGGTTTACAATGGAAAATCCCAATCTCAAATGGATGAGAACTGGGGATACCCCTTGACTTAGGAAACCATCGAATCCCATAGTTAATCTGGTTGGTGGTTTGGAACATTTGGATTATTTTTCCATATCTTGGGAATGTCATCATCCCAACTGACTTTCATATTTTTCAGAGGGGTTGAAACCACCAACCAGATATATATATATATATATATAAGGCCAATTTTTTAGGGCTATCTAATTGGATATACCCCCAAAATATGGCCTTATGTGATACAGCACCTCCATTTTAGGATCCTGGAATTCCCATCGAACCAACCGGCTAGCCACCTCACGTTTTACCTGCGAAATGCGTCATTTCACCGAGGACCCCGAAGTTCTCGAAGACGGACGAATGCGCTGCGTCTACTGCGGGCGTTTCTTCAGCGACGAACGCATCGAGAAACATCAGGCGATGGGGCGGATGGGGATGGGATGGGGAGATTGGAACAGAGATTTGTTAGTTCATTGATGAGGTATACCCAAGAATTATGGGATTTTCATGGGAATTTCATGGATTTCATTGGATGTAAATGGGTGATGGATTTTACCATGGGATTTTTCATGGTAACTTTCTAAACCCTTGGGATGATGTGTATCACATGATCCCCCGTCACTGGAAGAATGTGAACGGAAAAAATCATCCCCAAATGGCCAATGATTTGGAAAATAAAGGTGGATTGTATTATCAGCTGACTTGTATTAGGAGGGCCATCGTTACTTTTCACAAGCTATTTTGAAGTTTGTGAATTATTACGATTCAGCCAGATGATTTATCATAGTATCGACCACTAATTTGATGTTTATATTTCGGGAAATAATGACCAATCCCCAACTTTGACGGTAAATCATATGTGTATATAACTATAATTGATATAATAGTTACTGGCTTGGAAATCATTAACTGGCTTGGTACATATCATCAGTTGGAGCTACTGGGTGGTTCACCCCAGTAAGTAAAGACAGTGATGCATCCCACTTGGGATCCGTGGTTTGTAATCTTTGAGCCATATAGTCCCATGAGTAGGGATATTCCATATCCAACTGGAGGTACAACCCCATTTACTAAGCAGGAAGCAATTCAGTAGGGCAAGTCGCTTTAGTCCAGCAATTGGGGTAAGCTAATCCACATACGCCTGAGCTGAACCACACAGATACCCCACCCTGCCACCGTGCCACTGCTCCGCCCAGAGCATCTGCGGTAGCCTGAAGCGTGCGAGACCGAAGGGCGTGGATGGTGAGCAAACGCAGACAGGCGCTGGGAACTGGGTCAGTTCACACTGTTGCACTGGTGTAGAAAAAGATGGACAAGTCATTTACCATTATTTTTATTTATTTTTACTAGGATTTACTAGGATTTTGAATATTTGTAGTTTCCTAATGTTTCCTATCTTTTTTTTTGGGTACTGCTATAGGTCTTCATCTCATATGTTGGATGAAGTGGATGGATGAGAACTGGGGGTACCCCCATGACTTAGGAGACATCCAAAAACGATTCCCACTTAAGTTTACCCCAACATCTTCAACATTGAATCCCACTCTGTCTTCAAGGTCAACGTTAAGACGCAAATTGAGCATATTGAAGAAACTCAGGTGGTGATTTTTTCGGGAATCAGCAGCGAAGATGAGGATCTAGAGCAGCGAAGGATGAATATTGTTTGGGATGGGTAGAATACTACCTTCCCCTATCATTCTGAGGGTCGAACGATTAGCTGATTAGCTGGATGCTGTAACCATTTACAACCAACAATTTCCAGGTGAAATCCCATTCAATCCAGAATTTTGTTTGCTCAATCCTCTTAATCTCCACTTTTTTGGGGGGTTAGATCAAGTCAAATCATTTTGAACATGGTGCAATCGCAACTGGATGGCTGGTTAAATCCAATCAAATCCACAATTTCCATAAGATTTCCATAGATTTTCCATTTTCTTTGCCATAAAATTGTGGAAGATCCATAAAAATCGGGATTTTCCATAAGATTTCCATAAGATTTCCATAGAATTCCCGATTTTTCCCATTCAATCCATCTTTTTTCACGCTTGTCCAGGTGCCAAGGTCTTCAATGCCAAGGCCCAACGCACCGGCAGCGGCCCCTCCTTTGCGCCTTGGGCTCGTTGGACCTGAAATGGGATTGATGTGGGATTGATAGAATTTTTGATAGGTTTTTGGGCATTATACTATACCTATTATAGATATTTGGGCATTATACTACCTATATAGGCTATATATTCTAGTTTCATGGGACTTATTGGGCATTATTGGGGCTATCTTATACTGATGTGGGTAAAACAATGTCATAAACCACCCATGACTGGGAATGGAAAACATACCACATGCAAAATTTGTCATGACTCGGGGGATGGTTTATGGCATTGTTTTACCCACATTAGTTGCTTTTGATGGATTTTGAGTTGATTTTGTTGATTTCCTCGTCGATGTTTTTGATGACATAGCGAGAAATTAAGGGTGACTTCACTTATTTTGATTGATTTTGATGTGGATGGTGGGCTTTAGAGTTGATGATGACTATAAGATGAATAGTTGATTTCACAACATTTCACAACTATTGGTTTGGTCGATTGGAACCAGTGGACCATTGGATTCGGGGTATTTTTAGACGAAGCCACTTTCCAAAACTGCATGTTTGGAGGGTTTGGACATGTTTTGACCTTGAAACCCTTGAGCAATAAAGGGTTCAAACCGTTCAAACCCGAGAATTCCCTTGGAAAAATCCACCCGCTATCTGCAACTTGCATTCATCGCCAGGATTACCAAAGGGCATCCTGGCATCTGAGGTGTCGCCGGAGGCGTATCGAAGAAAAGAAGAGGAGGAGGCAGAGTCTGGACCTGGTGGCCTTCGCAGATAGCTTATCCCAGATGCTCCATGTATGAAATATTTACCTACGTTTGGGTGATTTTTAAGGCAAATATTGGTAAATATTCCATACATGGAGCATATGGGTATCCCAAGATGTCAACCAATGAAATCTAATAATCGAACTCTTCGCACGATGAATTGAACGTGGCTACATCTGGAGTGTTTCAGCCTCATCGTTATCACCCGCAAAATGTCGCCAAAACCACGAGTACGTTAATTCCCTTCGCTACAATAAAGGGCCTTGCTACCAGATGGGCCGGGATGGGGCTGTAAGTCCCAAAAATTCATTCAATAAGCGTAATAATAATAACAACAATTAGTAATGATAATAGTACGGTAACAACATTTATATAAATATGTGGAGGGCGGGCCAGGCCGCAAGGCCACGGAGGTAGTATGAAATACCAGTTCGTATATTTAAATGTAGTTGCAGTATGTTTAAATGAATTGGATTCCGTATGTTTAAATGGCTGGGCGGGCCAAGGAAAACCTTCCCGGAGGAAGTCTAAAATACCTGTTCGTATATTTAAAAATCCGTATATTTAAATGTAGTCACCGTATAATAATATAATAATACAATAATATAATAATATAATAATATAATAATATAATTATAATAATATAATAATATTATCTAATAGTCATTGTCACATCTCAATTAATACAACTATCCTAGGTCTCAAGTATGTAAGTGGATGTAAGTGGGCATGAGTGGTTGTTGAGTTGGTTACATTTTCTATACCCCCCATGTATATTCATAATATGGTCATTTTAATGGGAAGATGAGACTTTAAACAATCGAAAATTGCCCTCTGGTAAACTAACATAACTATGGAAAATCACCATTTTGAATGGCTAAATCAACTAAAAATGGCAATTTCAATAGCTATGTTAGTTTACCAGAGGGTAGAGAGCATATTTTCCAGACGAAAGCCATAAAAGCTGCGGGGGTTCCCTGTGAAAGCTATCGTAGACAGCCCATTAGGCCATATCCATCCCCATTTATACGTAGTTTTAAGATGTTTTAAGATGTTATAGTTGCCATAAACCCGTGTTATAGTTGCCATAAACCCGTAGTAAATATAGGGGTAAATATGTGATGTATTGGATTATTGGGATATAATGGGAATATCATGTGGTATATTATATATAAGTATAAGTCTGGGTAAATTTGATCACGACCTCACGGTACGACCAAACCCTGGAATCATGGTTAGTAATTAAGGGAAATCATCCCCAAATGGCCGAACTATTCAGGTGAGTGAAATATTACAATTTACGCAGATAAGTTACAAATCAAACAACTACTTAGCTGACGAGTTGTACCCCCATTAAATCTATTACAGTATCCCATTCACAGTATTTGTTATCATGGTTCTCCCATTAGTATTGGTCGTACCGCCATGATTGTTAGAATATAATCCCATGATATTCCCATGCACATCTTCCATGATACCCAATATTCCCAATCATATTCTTGGATGATATTATCATATCTTATCATATATTATATAATAAATACCATGATATTCCCATGATATTAGTGGATGATATTATCATATTTTATCATATATTTTCCATTCTACCCTCCCCACTATTGTTTTTTTAAACACCCCGTTTCACTTCGCCATCCAGTTCCTCCATGTTCCATCCTCCAGGAGAGAGAACTCAAACGAGCGCGCGAACAGGCGCAGAAGAAGTCGCCCCTCGACGCTGCGTCGGAGTCGTTGATGGGTTTTAGCAAGATGTGAGTTCTTATTGGAATGGGATAATGGGTTTATATTAGGGTTTAATGGTTTAATGGGTTTATATGGTGTTGAATAGGGATAATAATGGGTAATAATGGGATAACGGTGTGGCTATGGGTCAATACCTATAGATACCATTTTTAGTGGGATGAACATCCATAAATCCCAGCTATGACTTGGGGTTCACTAGGTACCAGGGTTTTGACCCATCCCCATATGAGCTGTATTAAAAACCCGGTAATACTCAGCTATGTATTCGGTGATCCTTGGTCCATAGTTCGCCGCACCGCCGCACCTAATTCTGGCTTTAAACTGTTTTGAGGGTAGTCCATTTAGGTGGGGAACGACATCTGGAACGACATCTGAAACGACATCCAAATCATACATAGACATATATGGGAGTCTGTGAAAACCACATTCTATTTTGTTTAGTCTTCCATGTCCATCCCACATGAGCCATTTTTAGCTTTCATAACCCTGTGCGACCGCTTGTGTCTGAGTGCTTAGATCGGTCACAGAGCAATATGTCAAATTTTTGAATCCCACCGGCGATCTGAACGACATCCGAAACGACATCTGAACGACATCTGAACGACATCCAAAGTCGTCCCAGGTGATCATAGACCCATTTGACCCGTTTTGGTTTTCTTTTCTCATTTGGGCTTAGGTAATTATCCTTCACATAGCCTAATATAAACATATATGACCCTTTTATATCGTAGATGTCTCCATTTTCTGTACACAATACAAAACAACCATTCATTGTTCTATTTCTCCGTATCTCAAAAGCATCCAAGATTCCGTCTGGCAATATTAATATATAATCTGGAAATGTGGAGGTCCTATTGTAAACATGAAGACCGCCGCATGGAATTACGATGATTTGTGGTTGGGATCAGCATTTTCAAACCGGGTTTTTAATACGACTCATATAGTGATGCTTGGTTGGTTTATAAACCCCACAAATACTTCGGTTGGTTTGATAACTATGGTTTATGGTATACCCTCCAGTAATTTAACATAGCTATGACAAATGGCCATTTATAGTTGATTTACCCAGAAAAAAAACAAAACAAACCCATGATGGTTATGTATAGAACTATAGAAGATAAATAATATTCCATGGTGTTCCATAGATATCAAACCCATGAGTTAAACCAAGTTGATGTTGGTTGGTTTATAACCCCCATGAATACATATGAATACTATAGATATCTATAGATTCTATACTACGCCATAAACCATGGTTATTAACCACAGATATTAACCATAAACCATAGATTTTACCTAGTTATTTCTGTTATTTGTACCAATTTTAGCTAAGTGTTTGATCATTTCAAGAAGTTACTTAGTAATGATGGGATATTAATGGGGATATCAATGGGGAAATCATCTATCAATCATATTCCATGATATTTCCATGCATGTTTATTTAATCAATAGTTGCGGGAAGAAAAATAACTTGTATCACAATTGGCAATGGATATATTAAACCCATATATAAATCTATCTATATATAAATTCTGGAGGGGGGATGGATGAAGTTACCTAAGCCACTCCAAATACCATTGTTGATTCGTTACGGGGAGTTATACTACCTATATATATATAGTAATAAAACATAGTAATAATAATGATAATAATAATGAAAATAATAATGATAAAATAAGAAAATATACTATATATAGAGAGATGTTATTAGGGGCTTTTTATATCCCATAGTAGGGAAACCTATCAACCAAGAAGTATTTCATGAGATGGGATTGGGGTATATTTGTCTTAACGGTGAAGCCCGGTGTTTCTCCCATATTTTTTTGGGGGGATGAACACCCATAAATCAGCCATGTTGTTTCTATCTTAAGGCTTTTTTTTCCATTTTCTGATAGATGGGTTGATACTATATCTTAAGGATTGACCCGTTGGTATTGCTGGATTTATGGAATCATAATACCATCTGGTTATTTAACATAGCCATGGACAATCACCATTTTTAATAGGTAACAATAGGTAAACCATCTATAAATGGGCCATTTTCCATGGCTATGTTAGTCATAACCAGAGGGTAATCCTTAAATGGGTCAATCCATTGATGTTAGTTCCCATTTTCCGCTTTGGGTCAATCTACCAATGGGCGCGCGCTTTGGGGGAATCTAATGGGAACATGGGAACTCTTTTTTAAACGGCCCCCTTGGAGCAAATCAACCATAGCCTCCAGGCATCTTGGTATAACTTGGTCTATCTGCACCCACTTTTCACAGATATGTCTCAGGTATCCTCAGGTAGTTTTTGGAGCGAACATTGGGCATGGGTCGACGATGTGCATGCCGGATATCCCCAATATTCTAGATGGGTTTAAGACAAAAATGACAAATTCTATGGGTCCATGGCCCATGGTCCCCGATTTTTGACACAGGCCCATCTTTGATCCTCTTCATGCAAAAAAGGCTACATGATTCTGCAAACAAAAATGAGATGTTCCGTTCTCAGGCTTGTTGGCCGTGCACCCCTGATCCCCCCTGACCCATGACATTAATTCAGGATGTGAAGAGATTCCACATTTTTCTGAGATGTTCAATAGAACATGCACGCCAGGCGCAACTGAACCTCAACCTGATAGGAAACTGGGGACCCTGACATGTTTTTTCCCTACTTAGCGAGGGGAAGCAGCAATGGTGGGGAGATCAAAGATGGTTTACCACCAAAGGGATCAGCAAATTAAATCTGTGGGTGCAGCAGAGATTTCTGGGGCGTTTTTTGAGGTCTTGGCGGAGACAACATGAATCTTGGAAGACAGGGATGGGAAAGTCCCGGTTTTTGTGGGTGGGATATGGATGTTTTGGTCTGGATCAATGGCCGAGGGCCCTCAGTCCTTAGACTTTGCTTGAGTTCACCATGGAAAGATTGTTGGAAGTCACACGTACGAACCTCCAAGTGCGATTGGGAGAACGGGAAAACTACGATTCCTACGGTTTATCCTTTCCTGAAATGCCCAAGGGTTTTTAGACGCAATCTTCCAGGCTTTTTGGAAAGTTGAGGGTCGGCTTTTTGTTGCAACCATCCCCATCCGCCATTTCTGGACTTGATTTTTGGCCATCGGCTCTGCCGGCTCGACCACAAACTCTTGCAATACCAAAGCTACAAAGTGGGACTCCCAAGAGATATCTGAGTTGGTGCGTGTTTATGACTCCAATAACTACGGTTTATGATACTTACAACTATATGGGGTGAAACTTGGGGGCCACATTGGAGCAATCCAACATCTCTTCTTGTCCGATGATAGATTGAGCTCCCCACTAAGAGGATAACATCCCAAAGTTGCTTTATCCCATGAATTATTATTGCATGGATTAATCCCCTTGAAATCCCCAGCGAAAGAAACCACCAGATTGGCTTGTCACTGAAACAAAGCTGCTGACCCCTCAAGGAAGAATTTGTCAGTGCGTGTCGCGCTGGACGCGGGGAAGAGGTCGGGGATCGAAATTTCACGGGAGTGGGTCTGAAAGATGTGGATATGAATTGAATACTCTCTGAACTTGGGGAAACAATTGAATCAATCATGACATCTTCAAGTATAGCATTTTTGATGTCGCGGCAAAAACTGGGTGGGATTTAAGTAAATGTATGTCAAAAGCAAGAAGGTCAACCAGCAAGAAATTCAGCGGGTTTAGGAATTGGACCCTGCGAAGCCCTGATTGCCTGACCATTGACATTCAGTTGGAAATCACCCAAGATGTTGTGCAAAATCTAGTAACTGGCACATTGTTTTTATGGTTAGAGTCACCATTCTAATTCCTCTATGGCAGCCTTCTATTTGTTGGATGAATCAGGTAAATTCTGACTGGAAATAGTTAAAGTAGTTCAAACAAAAATAGCCAAGCCTTGCATTTTGTTGGTGTAAGATCCACTTTTTCTGGTTGAATCAATGGATTGGTTTAGTCGGGCGATGGTTTCCGGTTAAGATGTTCCCGACTAAACCAATCCATTGATTGAACCCACCTTTGCAGCCACCGTTCTGAAGGTTCCCCAGCCGACCCGGAAGTCGGATCACTCTGGCATGGCCCGGGGCCAAATCGGGCCCGTATCGGGCCGCGAGACTCCACATTGAACAGATCCAATAGGGACTTTACCGGGGATATCATGTGGATATTATTGGTGATATAATTTGATATAAGTAAACTAAGTATATATAATCATGGGGATATTTTTCATGATTCAATATTGATGGGAATATGCGAATGGGAATATAATGGGATATTGCCGCAACTGGTGTCATCAAGGCTGAAAAATCATCGAAGTAAATGGAGGATTTTCAATAGCTTTGATTGGAGGGTAGTTCTCTGGTAAACGTTCACATAGCTATGGAACATCACCATTTTTTAAATGGGTAAATCAACGATTTCAATGGCCATTTTCAATAGCTTTTTGTATGTTTACCAGAGGGTAGTTATCTGGGGGGGAATACGGAAGATGCTTCGTTCAAAAAAAAATCCGTAAACCACTAGTTATCTGGGTATGGATCAATACCTATTAATACCATTTTTAGTGGGATGAACATCCATAAATCCCAGCTATTTTGATGTGAACTACAGGGGTACTATTGGTTTTGACACACTGCCATCTTGAGCCTTTTATGGCGATGGAAAAACCCCATCTCAGGAGAAAGTCTGGGTCAACCAGCTTTGCCGACGTTAGAATGGTGACATCTCATTAACAGAGAGGCAGTGATGCTGACCTACCGTGGAGATTCATGAACTTGCTATATGGTGACTGATTTTAATGATGTATATCGGATATATAATTATGTATATAATTGTATGTATATATATGTATATCCCATGATCATCTAGAATATAAACATGATAAATTCTCAATTGTATTCCCACTGATATTCCAAGTGATCTCCGAACAAACAGCTCCATTCCAGCCGGGACCGTGCCGAGTGCCGTTTCCGCCGCTGAGATCATGTGCCGGCACTGCGGGCGCTACTTCAATCCCGAAGCCGCGGAGAGACACATACCGATCTGCGCCAATGTGCCTTGGGTATCCTTGGGGGGTGGATCAAAACCCCTGGTGGTTGATGATTACCATCTGGTTATTTAACATAGCCATGGAAGCCATGGCCCATTTATAGATGGTTTACCTATTAAAACTGGTGATTTTCCATGGCTATGTTAAATAACCAGATGGTATAGTCTAATTATAGTATTTACATGGGATTTTAAGCATGAAAATATGGAGATATTAGTGAATATAACTTATAAATGATGGTTGGTTGATGATTTAACTGGCGAAATATGGGATTTAACCATCGAACATATGGGATTAGTTCGTTGATATAGTTGATACATATTGTTACATGATGGTTGGTTGATGATTAGTGGGATTATACCACCCTATAGATATTGGGGATTATAATCATTAATCCAATATAGGGGAATCCAGTTCTCAACCAGCCGGTATTTCATGGAATGATAGAGGGATGTAGATACCACTGCTGAGGTTCCACTCGGGATCAATCCAGCCAAAGTGATGCATACGTATCATGTGTTTTTTTTGGATGACTACAATGACATCTAATGACCAACAAGATCCAATAAGATCCAATAAGGATAATGATCCCTAAACATGTTTTGAAATTTGATTCGTCAGCCCTGTGCAAAAAAAAAAGGTGGTTCGTTTGATCATGTTGATCTCAAACAAAATTCATGAGGTAATAAACCAGGTAAACCCAAAGCCCAATGATAATCACCATGAACTAACCATGACCGGGGTCATTTTTTTGAGGTCGAAATGATGTGATTTTTACTAGCAAACCCTCAGGTCGATCCCGACAAGTGGGACATGTGATGAACGTTCGAAGGGAAATATCATTGAAGTAACTTAAGAACACTCTGATGATATATTTTTAGGGCATCTTTTTGGGAATAACTACAATGACATCTAATGACCAATAAGGATAATAAGGATACTGATCCCTAAGTATACCTGGGTTTGTTTAGTCGGTGATTTGGCTTATTTTCCCAATGGAAAATCCATCATGAGTGTGGAATCTATAGAGAATATGTTATTTTTTTGGGAGCCCAGTCCAGGCACTTAAGCAAATCCAAGTACCCCCTGGTTATTTAACATAGCCATGGAAAATGGGCCATAGAAATAGATGGTTCACCTATTAAAAAATGTGATTTTCCATGGCAAACTGTTAAATAACCAGATGGTACAGGTATTTACTCTGTGTAGCTATTTAGGATGTTGGAGCCCCGAATGTCTTGAGTGACGTTATGAAAAACCGGCCTTGTGAAAAAATCACCAGGTCAATTCGAAGCGTGCAACGGGCAACGGGGGGATGAACACCATGCTATTTTCATGGGATATCCTCTGGTAAATTAACATAGACCCTGCCAGATAGGGGTTGGAAGATTAGTGAAACCACAACTTTTTTTTTTCAGGTGTATGTTAATTTACCAGAGGGTATATAACGGATAAGGATAATGATCAATTGGATATTATAGGATATCATGGGATTGATGTGGATTAATGGGATATATATATATAAATATATATGGATATATCTGGGTAAATTATAACGACCTCACTGTTCTCCCTCACTGGAATCATAGTTAATAAGGGAAATCATCCCCAAATGGCCTGAATTCAGGGAAGATCCTTGTGAAGGGAAGATCCTTGTGAAGAATCCCTGGGAGATTTGGAGGAGGAGATTGATCGCTTCCTCAATGGCTTGCGAACTGTGCCATGCTCGGCCCGGTGACCCTTCAATTCAGATTCTTGTGTCCAGGTTCTTGATGGTTTGGATTTCCTGAGAATTCTGAGTTTCAGACTGCCTCGGTCTCTGCTCCGGCCGCTGCCTCAAAATTAGGCAGACGCAGATCCAAATCACGAATTTCTGTGCCGGAAAGCAGGCAGTGTTGTAGTATTACAAGCATGAAGGCGCAAGCCATAATAAGCAGCATCAGAATTCATGGAAGATCGTGATGCTTTGATGTTGCCAGCACTGCTACCAAGCTTCGCTCACTTTCCACGACTCCTCACAGGCGCAGAAGTCTGCTGCCAGGAGGATGTGACGTTGAGATCCGTAAGAAGCGGCAGGTTCGATTCTGCGAGTCTGTTGTGTTCGTCACGAAGCACATAGATATAGTAGATACATCTAGATGCAATAGTATAGAAGTGAATAGAGATCATAGATGTCAGAGGTAGCCTAAATCCATCATGACTCGGATTTGTTGAATCTGAAGTATGTCCAGAGCGAACAAGGTGAGCCGCATGTCATACGTCCGTGACAGCACAAGCTTCGAATTTTTCCGCTTTGAACGCTAGGTGTTGCAGTCCCGAGGCAAGTATGCCGGTCTAAGAAACCGAATACACGGACACTGTTCCTTGTGAAAGCACAGGCAGCTGCTCACCATTCTGGACAATGCCATTTGCATGGTGAAAGCATGTTAAGTGCATACTGCATAGTAATTGAAGTATATTGAAAGATATTGAAGCAGAGGACGGAGGAATGGGGGTGTTATTGGGGTCTTGTAAAAAATGGATGGAACCTGTGGCACTGCCAGGGTCGCAAAGTATTTAGGAGAGGTTCTCTATAGCAATTCCCGTGAAAGAGATTTTTGCAAAGCCAGCGCTTTCAAGAGATGTTCTAAAGCCAGGCCATTCACAAGGTATTTCTCAAAGCGGGCGCTTTGAGACATATTTCTACAGACCGGTTTGATACCTCGGTCATGTGTGCTCCCTGTTCTAAGACAACTAGATGAAAACATACATGTATGCATACTGGGGAATCCGGAGTCATGGGGATATTTCAGACATGCTGACAAAGGAGAAAGATGAATCAATGGAATTGCCCGCTGCTGGAGGTCATACCTGGCCCTGGCAGCGAAGCGCCTATCCCCCCATTGGTGGTCACAGCCATCAAGAATGCTGCCTTGAAGCCCTTTAACAAAAAATGGATCAGTCCAAGGCGAGGGCTGAAAGGTTGGAGCAGGACGGAAGAGGAACGTATGGTAACAGCTCGAAACAGCGTTTGAATCCTGGAGGGTTGGTCATTGTCCCCTCGGTATCCTCAGGCCCGGGCTAATGACAAGTGACAAGCCGCGCAAGTAAAAAAACACGGAATTGTTTGGGATTTCATGTGCTCAATGCACGAATCTCACATCCGGAAATTGGGTGTTAATCAGGAATGACATGAAAAAGCAATGAGGACAGGAATCGGGTGTCCAAGGAATCTATTCGGGGTATGAGTGCGCAGGGAGAAGCACGTTTTCACTGAAGGAGTTCATCCTTGCCGTAGTTGACATCAGCCGCATCATCGATTGTGTTACATCACTGCTCCGCAACGCAAAGTCCTAGATCAACAGAATCAAGTGAATGCTCTTTAGGAGAAGGAGAATCTTTACAATCAACTTCTTTGCATCCTCTGCATTTGGGTGAGCTCTCTGGTCAGACTTGGGGGCTTGAAAACACTTACCACGCCTGGGGCATTTGGCTCTAACCTACACGTGGTTTGCCTGTTGTACAGTGGTGTATACCAATAGAGCCCCGCAAAGCCATGGATGACATTTCTGCAAAGATGATCGATTTGCTGAAAGAATTTGACTGTTACGGAATGCCAGGACATAAATTGATCTCAGAAAGAACCAATCTTTTGGTGACCGACTTGCAGCATGATCCTTTGGAAGAGAATTTTTTCACTGCGAAGCATGTGCAGATTGAAGGATCCAGTGCCTCCATGTTCCTCAATCGTGCTTTTCCGGGCCTCAAAGATGAAACCATTGACCCATCAGTGAAATTTTTCAGCGAGGTAGGGTTGACCAATTTGCCTGAGCAGAAAGTCTTGTTGTGGAATTTGAGGGATGCATACAGTGACATGAGATCCGATGATGTTGCTTGGGTAGTTGATCGACACACACTTGTGTGTCCCATCCATGAAGACTGCCCAGAACGATTGCATATTTTGGAGTCCTTTTCAGGGGGTTATGGTGGATGGATGCATGCCACGAAGTCTTTGCAGGACTTCTTTCATGTGCCTACCCAGACAGTTGCCATTGACCCATCGCTCAACGCATGTCTCCACTATGCAATGATGCATGATGCAGTTGTGCACTTGGGTGACACAACTGCCACCTGGGAAACAACGCTTAGATGCCCTCATGCAGCTATGCTCTGATTGCCAACTGGAGCCACCGCAGAAGGTAGTGAAAAATGCAGCTGCTACTGCAAAGATGGCAGCCCACCAACACCGGAAGCGTGTAGCTGTACAGATCAGCCCTGCAGAGTATCAGATTGAGGCTGGTTTTTTCCTGTCACAGTCAGATCAGCCGCTGCCACAAATCCCTGAAATCCGTGCCAAAAGCACTGGTGTTGTTTTGCTGACGCTGGACAAGGCCAAGCAATGGGTTAGTGAAGGACAGACCATTTCCTCTGACGAGCTTGCAATGACCGTTGTGGGTGAGCACCAACTCCAGTGCGGACTCCCACATGAAATTGCGCACGTACCTTGCAAGGATATGTCTCACCGTCCTGTGATCATGAAAGCCACATTGGTGCAATTAGGTGAGAAAAAAGTGAAAACACAAGCTGGGAAACACCCTGCCATCGTTGAAGATGAGACGTGTACAATCTCGATCACTATGTGGAAATCAGACTGGAAGACGGAAGATTGGGCATTTCTTGTGGACCATCCTTTTGCCTTTGCCCGACAGGTTTTGAAGAACCAAGGACAGCCGGACATCTTGCAGTCCACATGGGGGAAATCCCTGCGTCACATGAAGAATCCTACCACAGCACAACATGCCACTTCGGTGCAATTTCATGCCACAGTGAAGTCAGAACACATGCGTGACTTACTGGCTTTGTCTGGGTTCAACTATTTGTGGATCGTACCAAAGACTGAGAAGGGGCGACTTGACTTGAAGTGGCGCATTCTGTGGATTGAAGGAAACTTTGCCCATCTCAACACGGTGGCATCACAGACACAAGGTTGTGCAGGACTGGTCAAATCTAAGACCTCCTTTGGGATTGAGATATGCTGAAAAAGACTTTGAAGCCGCTTGGAACTTGGTGAACCCAGGCAAACCTGTGCCGCAAGCCATGGACACACAGAACCTGTTTCAGGTACAATGCCTCCCATACGGATGCAGTGCTGACATGCTTCACAAATGGTCACAGTTGATCCAGTGGGAATTTCGAGCCATTCGAGCAGTTGGGCCAACTTCTTGGCTCATTGGAAGCAAGTCCATGCCACCAGAAGGTATCCACACCTTCAACAGTCGACCTGTGCTCATCAAATACTTACCGCCTCGAGACTCATTGCAGATGGCAGCAGGTGATGCAAGCAGTGCCTTTTTGATCCATGGGCGGCTGCAGCCCAATTGAAGACAGCCAATGCCAGTGCCAATGCAACCAGTACAGCCAATGTGCCAGGTCCCACTGAAGCGAGATTCCAAGAGCATGCAAACAAGCTCAATGAGCAAGAGACCAAGCTGCAGCAAATTGAACACGCACTCACAAAGCTACAAAAGGACACACAGCATGAGTTTCAGCAGGTCCAGGTGCGTGAACAGCAAGCACAAGCACAAGTACAGCAAGCTATCATGACGGTTAAAAATGAGTTAGATAATTCTTTTCAGAAAGGCATCCAACAGCAATCCGTGCAGCTCAACAGCACACTTGGAGAATTGCGCTCCTTGTTGCAGGCACCGCCTAAGAGATCGCGCAGTCCAGCTGAGGAAGAAATGGAAGATTGACATACACCAGAAACAAAAAAAGCCTTACAGGATGTGCCATTTACAAACCTGGGGGTTTGTACAGTTGTTCAAATCCTTTCTGCAATTGCCTTTTTTTTGGATCTCCGAGACAATGTACAATTCCGTCTCATGGACCATAATTTGTACTCAGGCGGGGAACACCTTGGGAACAGATCATCTAGCTCAAAAACTCATAAAAAATCCTTTTTGTTGATTGCTGCATCCGTAGAAAAATATCCGTATGCGGTAGTCGGTATATGCAGTTTCCATGCCATTTTCTTGGCATGGTTAGGGACGGTAAGCCTTGCCTGTGTGTACCATAATCCAGACTGCAAAGGCTACAGCGAGATTCAGGAACCTCCACCTGCATGTGTGCACAAGGGGGCCAAGTCATGCTATGCCATTTGTGCTGGCGACTGCCAGTGTGTTGTGTTTCAAATGCCCCTATCTGCTGACCAGCGGGTAGGTGTTATGCCAATTCACTTTGCCAAAGTAGCTTTCCTACGCTGCCCAAATAAAGCCAGCCAACCTTCGCTTGCTGACCTGCATGCGAGGGCCTTGCCAATTCAGCGCGCCATTTTGGCCAGTGAAACAAGATTTCCTTCTACAAAGACCAGTAAACTAGGGAAGATTGACACCTGCCCATCTTTCCTGAGGAAGCCTGTAAAGAAATGTTTCCACTTTGATGCATACAGAGGAGAGCGGGTTGGGGAAGCCAAGAACCCTGGTCCTAAACATAAAAAGATGTCAATCCACCAGCAACAAGCGGTCTTTGCCATTATCAACCCTACTGCTATCCGTAACAAAGATAGTGAGTTTGGGGACCTCATGCAAACGTACCAAGTTGACACTTTCTGTTGTGCAGAAACTACCGCCACCAAAGATGTTCAACAACAAATGACCAAACAGTTCACCAAGCTTGGCCTCAAAACTGTTTGGTCGGATCCTGTCCCACTGCAACGAAACAAAACAGATATGCAACCCTCCTTGCGTGGAAGGGTTGGAGGTACCTCGATCCATTCCAAATGGCCAATTGGTTACAGCCAGCAGCACAAACCACATGCTGCTGCCGACCGATTGACACATGCAGTCATCCAAATTGGTAGCCTGTATATCCAAGTAGTTACGTTTTATGGATACACTGGAGGAAATACTTGGCATAAACAGGCCACAAATGATTTGTTTGCATGTGCAATTCGAATGGCAGAGGGTATCAACCTACCGGCGCTCTTTGTTGGCGATTTCAACATGGACGTTCAGAACCTGGAAATGTTTGACTTTTTGGCAGCTAAGGGGTACATGTCCTTGCAACAAACCCATGAACAAATGTACCAGAAACCAATGCCTAATACATGCAAAGAAGCCACCTGTCCAGACACTGCTATTGTGCACCCGCAGTTGTTGCCTTTGATCAAACATGTGTGTGTTGATAAGCATGGCCTGTTTGATGCACATGATCCTGTCATAGTTGTATTTCAGGTACCCACAGCCGATGTGTTCCAACGGAGGCTCAAGATGCCCAAGACCTGGGCTGAATTGCCTATTACAGCTGATGACCTTGAACATGCAGCACAGTCCATGCCGTTGTCCCAACCACAAACCTTGCAGGAATGGGCTGAACTGGTTGAAGACGTTGTTGATTTCGCCATTCAACACGATCATGCCATTAAACCACACTTGCAACCCCTGCATGGCCTCCCAAAAAAAAAATCGAGGGCGTTGTGTGGAACCTAAGTTTATTAACATACCTTTTGTCAGACCATTCAAACAAGCCAGACATGGAGACTTCCAACCGACCCAGGAATGTGCCAGTTTTTTCAGCAGAGGGTTGGTGAAGCAGATCCGAAGACTTTCTTCACTACGATCTAGACTTCAGAGGATGAGAACTCAGATTAGCCTCTGGCAAGAATGGAGTGCCATATCCAAGTGGATTTTTCGCGGTAGATCCTTCAAAAGATGGGCATTTGAGAATGTTGAACTCTACCCTTGGCCACAAGACTTGCCCACTATTGAGTGGCTGCATGATGCTGAACAACTTCTACAACATGAACTTCAACAAGCACTGTTCCATGAAACAAAGTTGAGACAAGCAAAATCATACTTGAAGCATATCATCGATTGCCAAGACAACCACAAAAGGAATGTGCATGCACGTATCAAATGCCAAGAATTCCTTCCCTTTTCACATGTGACACGTGAGGTGAGTGAGCAGGCTATCCTGGTACCATCTCTTAAGGAAAATCAGTTTGAGTGTTACGTCGACAGGCCGCATAGATTCTCGGACACTATCCCCTTGCTTGTGTGTAATGTGGAAGCTGCAATCCAAGAAAAGCATGACCATTTCCTTGTGGTACAAATGCCTGAAAGTTGGACTCAACAAAAACCCGAGTATGAGCTGTCACAACATGTTTGTACTTTCCACCAAACTGAAGTATTTGATGAACTTACTGCCTTCTGGGAACCTTTTTGGAATAGGCCGCATGACTAACAGGTGCAAACCTTTCAGCAAGCCAATGGCATGCCGATGCCGGCCATTCCTGAGCTCAGTGATGCATTTGAAACCAACCTACAGGACTGGATGGATGCCATTGCCACTGCCAAAGCCACATCCTCACCAGGCGTGGATGGCTTTACGTTCCAAGAGTTGAAACTCCTGCCTAAAAGCTTAATCTCCTCCTTAATCAAATTTGTTGGGCAGCTTGATAAGTTTCCAGCGTATCTCATGCTTGCTAGGACGATCCCCTTACCCAAAAAGCAACAACTATCGGCTGAAAATAGCCGCCCGATCACCATCCTGGCCACGTTGTACCGCCTTTGGGGCAGGGTTTGTGGACAGCGATGCATCCGGCATCTTGCCCAACACATGTCAGATTACGCCATGGGCATGCTCCCCAAAAAGGGTGCACATGTAGCAAGCTACAAGATGCAATTGGAACTTGAGATACATACTGTAGGTCCCTTAATCAGCATGTCACTGGCCTAACTCTTGACCTTAAAAAGTGTTTTAACTTCTTGCGGAGACAGAAGGTCCAGCAACTGTTGAAAGCTTTTGGTTTGCCTGCTAGGTTGGTCGATAAGTGGTTTCTTTCCATTGCGCAGATGCACAGATTTTGGGACATCTCGAAACAGACCAGCAAGCTTATTCCATCCCCTGATGGTTGCCCTGAAGGTGATGCATGGTCAGTCTTGGCCATGTTAGTTGTATCAGAATGTTGGAGCCGCCTGCTTCAATTTCATGCGCAGTATGTCCGTACGGTTTCTTATGCTGACAACTGGACCATGTGGTCAAAAGATGATGAACTCCAAGCTCGACCCACGTTAGTCACCTGCTCCTTTGTTGAATGGATGGGGTTGCAAATAAGCTGGAACAAAACCTGGCTGTGGTCCACTGGTACCACCGGTGCAAAAAAACTGGCTGAGGTATTGCAACCCCATGTTCCCTTAGATCTACTAGAAATTAAAGAAAACGCCACTGATTTAGGTTGCCAAATGACTTATCATGGAGGTGCAAAGCTGGGTGTCATCCATGACAGACTTGCGTGTGCCAAGAAGAGACTTGACATACTGAAACATGCGACTTGGATTTTCCCTCTTAAAGCCCATGTGGTTCTCACTAATGTCATGCCTGTTGCACTTTATGGCTGTGAGCTCTTGGCCATTGGACAGAGACACCTTTCCCAATTGCGAACCACAATTGCGGACGCACTGGTAGGCGAAACCGTTCAGTCTATGAATCCTGGAGTGTTTTTGGCTTGCGCTGATTTGCACATCCTAGGCCCTCACCTCTTTGTCATTGTCCAATCAGTCAAATTGGCCAGAAAAGTTTTGCGAACACTTGACAACGACATGCGTCAGGTCTTTCTGAAACTTGTGGCAACGCCAGTCAAAACGACTGGACTCACACAGGGTCCAGCCAGTGCACTACGTGAATACCTCCTACGTCTTGGGCTGACATGTTCTGGTAGTGGTGACATACAAATGACTGCACTCCGGTCTTGCAATTTGCTTACCACACCATTCAAAGACTTGCAGTTGGGAATCCAGAGAGCATGGTATGAACAACTGTTGATGTTCCACTCACAACGTACCAAGTTATATAATACGTTGCCTATCCACTCAGACGAGATGTGCAGGTTGTTGCATAAGTTCAATCCCAAACAAAGACTCCTGCTCTTGCGTGAGATCGCAGGCGCTTTCCAAACAGGCGCACAGGTTTCCAAGTGGGAAGCAGATACCACCGGTGAATGCGAATACTGTGGTAACGGAAGTGATACAAGATGGCATAGGGCAGCTGAATGTAGTGCGTTTCATGACATCCGCCAGCCTCACATGGAAGTAATTGATGATTTGCGTGATTTTCATGAAACGTTTGTAGAATTGCCTGTCATCCATTTCCACCCACACTGGGAATTCATGACGCGTTACTGTGGGCCATGCCTGCCGTTGTTATCCCGGCTGAAACTGTTGAAGTCCTCACCCAAAAAGTTGGCACTTCCGTGCGGTTCTTTACCGATGGCAGCTGCAAGTACCCTCAACGCCCCAATACTTGCTTCTCTGCTTTCTCAGTAATTGCCGACACATGTACCTGTGACAATATGCGTAAAGACCTTGCCATGGTCTGTCAAACAACAGGGATGATGCCACATACCTTACAGAAGTTGGTGGTTGGTAGGACTCAGGGTAGACAAGTCATTCACCGTGCTGAACTTTCTGCTATTATTACTGTGTTTGAAGCATTTTCCTCCTGTGAGGTATTTACTGATAGCATGGTTTCAATTCAACTGGTGGATCTTTGCAGAAACGCGAACTCACTTGATGAGCTTGCAGGTCATGACGATTTTGACTTGCTTCAACGTCTTTTTCCACTGGTGACATGTCACAAGAAGGTATCTAAGGTGAAAGCTCATCAGAAACTGGGGTCTGTTAAAGACCCTCTTCAACTGTATAATGCCTTGGGTAATTGTGTTGCAGATGAAACTGCCAACGTTGCTTGCGAAGCCTTGCTGCCCGAGATTGTGCAACAGCTGGAGGACTTTCATAATGACATTGTTACACAGAGAGACGTTGTTTACAGGTATTTTTGTCTTAATTTGGACTTGCAAACATCACGTGCGCGTACCGCCGAGCCAGCCGCATGTCCAGATGCGGGCATACAGCAGCCAACAGATGTGCGAAAGTTGCTGACTGCGTGGCATGTTGATGAACCTTGGGTACAGCCTACTGACATTGGGGATGAAGAGATTTGTCATAATGTTTGGGGCTTTCAATGGTCTTTGGTTTTGCTGCAGTGGTTGCAAACATGCATTTGGCCTTCGACGGAGGTTGCTGATGACCCAGGTATCTCCTGGTTTGAAGTAGCCTTGTGTTTAGCATGTATCCAAGGACAATGGCTACCTGTGAAGCGTACCAGGAATTATGTGGATTATATCATTCAACCACGGACACTTGAAGATGTTATTAGCCTGAGTATCTCTTTCTCTGAACAAGCAACTGCAACATATGCACTTATGGCGCAGCTGCAAGGACTTGTTGTGAAGGGGTTGATCCCTCCTCATTGCAAATCGGGGAAAATCAAAGCAATGTACATTCAAGGATACCATTCCTGGACTACGGGCCTGACATGCAGGCCCCAATATCCACAACAGAAACAAATCACCGAGATCATGCTCAGATATCTTGCGTCACCGCATAGACAGATGACTGTTTTGCCTGACATTTCGATTGATGAGCTTTTGGATCCTTTTGCGCATGACCTTGACATGAGACTGGTATCAGTTGGTGAGAAGCAGAGGATTGCTGGTTTGGCTATGAGAAGAGTTCGACAAAGAAGGAAGTCTGTTTCACTTTGACTTTGCCTTCAATGGAAGGTTTGAGACACGTAACAAGGTTCCCTCTTGGGCTTCGGGAGGGAGGGGATCTGCTAGTGAACGTGGAAGAAGGCCTGAATTCAGGTTAGTGAAATATTATAATTCACCCATATATATAATATATATGGATATATGCTATATGTAAGTTCAGATCCTGTTTCAAGAACTGCAGATGTATACCAATCTAGTTTTTCTTTTCCACTCATTTCTATATATCCACATGTTTCATCATACTTCCTGAATTCTTTTGGTCAACCTTGGATCGCGACTGTACTTACTGACTAGCACACCAACCTCGCCAGCGAAAAAGATAAGGTAAACTAACGTAGCGAACTGGAAAATGAACATTTCTGGTTGATTTACCTAGTAAAAATGGTCAGTTTCCATAGTTATGTTAGCTTGCTAAAACAATACGTCCAACTTGTCGCATAACTTTTGCAGTCAGTGTCCAAGATTGGCAATGAACGAACCTAAGATTCCATCAATTTAATTTATGCAATATTCATGCGACCCCCAGTGCAAAAAGAGTGGTCATGATTATTTCTTCCGTTATGTGTATCAGTTCCTGTTCAACTTAGCCTCGTGTTTTCCCAACATGCTTCCCAATTTCTCTAGCTTTCTTCCTATATGTTCCCGTTTTCTGTGAAATTTCCATCGGCTTTCCCAACTTTTCCCTAGTTTTTCCCAACTTTCCCACAGTTTCTTCAACTTTTCGCAACTTTTCCACGTGTTTTCCCAGGTTTTGCCACGGTTGTACTTCCCACCCCCACCCTCGCCTCTGCGAGGTGGTGAACCGGCCCAAGCCACCGCCTTCACCGGCGCGGGGGCCGCCCTCACCTGCCAGGCCGGAGGTGGATACAACATGGTACAAGTGAGATACGGGTATTTAAAATTATATATATATACTGGTTGGTGGTTTGGAACATTTATTATTTTTCCATAGATTGAACAGGTATGTAGCAGAGGGGTTGAAACCACCAACCAGTACATATATATATATATATTAGATTTTATATTGCATAGCAGATTATAGATCTATTGGTCACCATCTGGTTATGATGGGAGATTAGTGGGGATATCAATGGTATATTAATGGGAAAACCATCAAACAAATCGGGTGCTTGGTTTCATAATACCATCTGGTAAATAGAATACTATCTGGTAGACTAACATAACTATGGAACATCACAATGTTTAATGGGTAAATCAACTATAAATGGCAATTTTCAATAGCTATGTTAAATTACCAGAGGGTATTGTATAGATTATTGTATCTGGTAATATTCATTAATATTCACTATATATAGATCTTATATGATCTTCTAAAACTATACCCATGTATCTAATTATAGTATATATGGATGTATAGAAAGAATTATAGATCTATGATTATAACATTTTCATTATAACGTTATTATCTATTATTAGTAAGGGGTGTTACCAGATACACATGAAATTATATAGATTATTGTATCTGGCAATATTGACTGTATATATATATATATATATCATGATAGATCTATTATATAGATAGCATATAGATATTAGTGTATATTGATATATAGATCAGATCTGTGATGTAGATCTATCATTAATATATTCATGATATTATATGTTGTGAATATTACCACATACAACAAGGTTGTGGATATATAGATTTACCAGATACAATAAGGCTGATATATGTATATGTGATTGTTGATCTAAAGTTCCATGTAGAATGGCAGTTTGCAGATACAGGATTTTCGCTCAACCACTAATGGTTTGTGGTAACTATCTCAAAACATACTTATTTCAGGTCAGTGAATTACTTTATTAGATGGTGTTTATATATATATACCTCTGGTAAATCAACAGTTTGACCCTGAACATCACCCATTTTTAGTGGAAATAGTGGAAACTGATCTTCGAATCCCTATCTGGCAGGGTCTATGTTAATTTGCTGGAGGGTATATACACACATATATATATATATATATGCTACCCCCCAAAACCCAGTGCGCAGAAGATTCAGATGCTGATTGATGTGTCAAGAAACCTTTGTTTGGAAAAAATGTTTCTTTTCAGTGCAATCCCTACATTTAATGGAATATATATATATATAAAGATTATACTCATATACAATGGGGGTGAATGATGTTGAAATGGAACTAGTCAACAATAGGAAGATGGGGGGAAATACTCTCTGGTAATTTGTTACCTAGCTATGGAGAATCACCAGCTGTATCCAACTAAATCTGCGATGGCTTCCGTAATAGTATGTCAAATTACCAGCGGGTACAATGTGGGGCCCCCTAGTCATCAATTGATTTATAAACCCCATGAACTATAGTTATAAGTACCATAAATCATGGTTATTGGAGTTAATTCAATTTCTGCAGTCGACCGTACAGCATCCGGCAACGCCATCCATTTGGTGCGAAAAGCATCCATGCGCATCAAAAAAACCTGTTACGCTTGCAAAAAAAACTGTAGATTGGCAGAATTTCCCCTCCTACAGGAGGCCTGTTGAATTGAATGGCGAGCATATTTTGTTTCAAACAGACAGCCATCTTGTTCTTTCTCCTTCGATGACAGGTACGTGGCCTTGGGTATCGAGGGACTGTTTCGAGGGAATCACTGCCTCATTTACGACACTGTCGATGTTCACCAACTTAGCTATCTTGGGGGCCCCACATTGTACTACATATGATATTAATTAGCCTTCCAGTACTACCCGGTTCTACCCCTAGTATCCCCAGAATGTTATCGTACTCCAGGGATGGAAGGGCCTACCTGTGACAGCTCCCCCAATGGTATTTGACCATGTCACGGCAGTACACAATCAATGCAATTTCCCATAGCAAACTTCAAAGTTGAGGGTCATGTGATCCTGGCCTTGAATTGTATCCTCCAGTAAGCTAACATAGCCATGGACAGTGTTTTTCCATAGTAAACTGTTACCAATTACAAGAGGGTGTGTATATCCACATCACCCCATCGTCATATTGTTGATTAGTTCACATTAAAGACCATTAACCTCCACTATATCCCATTCATGAAACATGTTTTTCTTCCATCAACAAGAATCCCAGCATGAGAGGCTCTTGAGAGAGTATATATCCCATTAACCCCCACTAATCCCATATTGTTGATTGTCTTTTTTAAATATACCCTCTGGTTATTTAACATAGCCGTGGAACATGGCCCATTTATAGATGTTTTTTGATGATTTACCTATATATAAATAATTGCAATTTTCCATGGCCATGTTAAATAACCAGATGGTAAGATACTAAGAACATCTCCCATTTCATCAGAGATCCTCCCAGAAACCCACAAAACGTGTGAGGCCTCCCTCCGAGGCCGGGGAATGAGTTGGGATAAATGTCCTTTCCAAAATCAGGGGTTGGTAACTGTCCCATTTTGGGAATATTGGACATCACCTTATAGTAGCCATTATAGACCATATACCTAATGGTTGGGTGATGTTCAATGGGGACATTTAATGTCCTTTCCAAAATAGAATTCCGAAAACGTTAATTAGTGATACGTGTTGGGATGATATTAGTGATACGTGTTGGGGCCTTAGGAGGATAAAAAAGATAATATTAATTAATTAGGGGATTCAAAAGCGATTGTATGGTGTGAAAATAGAATACCATCTGGTTATGATGGGATATTAGTGGCGATATCAATGGTATATTAATGGGGAAACCATCATACAAATTGGGTGCTTGGTTTCATACTACCATCTGGTAAACTAACAAAGCGAACTGGACAATTACCACTTTTAATAGGTAAATCAACTATAAACGGTCATTTTCCATAGCTATTTTACTTTACCAAAGGGTACCCTCCGGCAATCAAACATAGTAATTGGAAATCCTCTATAAACGGGTTGGCATGGGAAAAAACACCTCCCATCAAAATATGGAAGATGTGGCTTTTCTAGAGAGGACTCATTTAGAGTGGTCATGGTGATCATCAGTTGTTACATAGGATAATTGTTTTATATAATATAAAATCAGTTTTTACATATAATTATATAGTCATATAAAATCATGGTTATAATCAGTTTTTACATATATATATATATAACTTAGGGGACTTATTGTGAACCGGGAACCTAACCAGCTAAGGATTCGTGGGATGATCCCCAAAGTACCTTGGATCATAATCTAGAGATAGAACATGTTTTTCTGTGCGAGGTTAGATTGCCAGAGTTTGTACACATGGATGGATCAAAATTATTCAACATCCCAAAGTTGGATAGTCTTAACAGGATGCCAATCCATTTGTTGATCCAAAACCACTGGATTTCACATGATTGACAGTGCAGAGGATGTCCCAGTCGTGTTGGATACAGGAATCGCATATTTTATGATCAAATCCTTACTGTGTTTGCTACATTCCTACACCAGCATGCTGGTTAAATTTCCATTCTTTACCGGATGCTGAAACACATGGGAAATTTAAGGCTCGCGTCCTGCAGGGACCTTACCAATTTAAAAGAAAATCAATGGATTACTGTTAAATCTTTATTGTTGATGGTGAAATCCTGTTTTTGAGTGAATTTTCAATGGTTGCTAGATCAAATCCGTCTTTCTCATGGTGAAATCCTCCTTTTTTTGTTAGTCAAGTCACAGTCAGATATCCAGGTTCCTTCTGAAATTCCCCATTTTTCATGAGTGAAATCCACCTCTCCTGGAAGTTTTGGTGGTTTTTGTTGTTCAACTGCCACCTTTCACCGGTGACCTTGGCCCGTTCTCAACCCCAGGCCGCGGCGTCGCCCCAGAAGCGGCGCGGACCTTCCGGGCGCGGACCTTCCGGGCGCAGCCCTGCACCGGAGAGGGAGGTGCCGGTGGCCTTCCAGCTGTGCCCGGTTTGTTCAAAACCCATCAAGGGTATATAACTTGAGTTAGTTCAGTGAACTAACTCCATTACTCTCCATGTTTTTTTTTTTAATCATCTCAAGATTGTTTTTGGTATAACGATCATGTTGAATCGAGAGAAATTGGGATACACAATTGGGATAACGCATGATAAAGCTACTAGAAAAAAACATCTAGCAGAGGAAGTTAAGCAAAACAAATGGAAATTTAACCACGAATATTTTGTAGGGATCATATGGACTAAATTTTCATGAAGAGTTAATGGCATATTCATGGGGATATCATGGTTTGCCACTAGCCGCCTAAGGACTTTACATGGACTTGTTGGGATGTAGCCATCAACTTTGGACTTGACTGAGGGTCATCCCATTACGTGGTTTAATGGGTGGAAGCACAGAAGGTTGGGAGAAAGAATGGAGTTATACGTAGATGGGCCATGGTGTAACCCTTAGTTCACCAACTGCTTTCTGTATCTAACTGTTGTAACCTGCAAAAATAAGAATTCGAATCCAACTAAGCAGTTGTTTCCCAGCAGTTAGTAAATGGATTATACAGTGGGTTACAAGCCACTTGCCAACCATAAAATACCCTAATGCTCATCTAAGTGACCCCATACAGCCCGGTGGTGACGTCACTGGAATGCCAGAGATAAAAAATAGTTAACTAATCCCATGGTCCATCGAAGTGGGCGATAAATATGAATCAGGCTACAATAGTGTGAATATAGTAATGATATAATTTGGTGGTTTGGAACATGAATGGATTATTTTTCCATTCAGTTGGGAAGAATCATCATCCCAACTGACTTTCACTCCACATTTTTCAGAGGGGTAGGTACTGTATACCACCAACCAGATTTGATATTGATGGCAACATGATTTTTATCGATGGTGGTGACCCATAGGTAAGTTGCGATCTTTTTGGCACCAGTCATGGCAGTCATGGCTGCTGGTTTTCCCCACCCGTGAAATCAGTGGGTCGAAAGCCCCATTAGTAGGTTGAAGAGTCCAGAATCATGGAGGGCAGCCCCAAATTTTGTATGCAACAGATTGCACGAGTGTTTTTTTTTTTTTTCGTTTTTAACACCAGGGAAATGAAGGGATAACAGTGAGGATTATATATAGATATATATATATATAAAACTGGTTGGTTGTTTGGAACATTTGGATTATTTTCCATTTCATATATGGGATATATAATCCTTCCCATTGACGAACTCCATCATTTTTCAGAGGGGTAGGTTGAAACCACCCACCAGTTTTTTTTTTCGTTGTTTGGATGCACCTGGTGGCAACATCTGAAATCTTCCTGGCAACAGTCTCTTCACATCGTCTAACTGCCAGTGTTTTTTTTCATGCACGGCAAACCTGCATCATCTGTTAGTTCAACTGCCAGCAGCTTCGAAATTGCTGTCTTTGTGGGTTGAATCCCAACGGTTCTTGTGTTGAGGCCATCCTTTTTTGAAGGGTTTGCACACAATTTTATACCCATTGAAATCCCATTAAAATACCATTAAAATCCCATGAATGTCTGGTTTATTTCCTTATAATGTTGGTGCCATTTTTTGCAGGCCTGATTTCTCACGAGGTTTTGTAGGTCCTGGCCATCATCGTTGGTTCCCCGTGACCAGGAGCTGCCTTCAGTGCGAAGCAGTTCCCTGGGCTCGGTCAATGTGCCTTGGACCTTGTGGACCTGGCTGGGAGATATTCGGGAGGTGAAGCTGCTGGGATGAGCCAGCAAAAATGTAATCTCTACTAGCTGATATGGTGATTTACCCATTAAGAAGTGTGATTTTCCATGGTTATGTTAGTTTACCAGAGGGTAATAGGTTTCATCCCTATATTGGCAATGCGTCCGCCACATGTTTGGTCCCTTCAACTATCATTTTGCTTGGTGTTGAGGTTTCCTTTTGGAGTGCCGTTTGAAATCAGGCAGATGGTAGGTTTCATGCTGGGTAGGCTGGGCCATTTTGATGGGGATGCCCTCGAAGAATTTGTTGCCATGGAACATCGCCATTTGTAACAGGTACCCTCTGGTAAACAAACGGTTTGCTATAGTGGATTTACCCATTAAACATGGTGATTTTCCATAGCTAATCACCTATAAATGGAATATGTGCCGTACGTCAAGTTACCGGATGGTATAAAAAACTCACCAGCACAAGCTATTTTGTTGCAGTGTACAATTGGCCATGGTAGCGATTTACTCGGGAAATACCATGATCTACCAACCAAGAATGGGGGTTTGTATTGAACCATCCGTTTTTGTTGTCAACTATTTTGACCTCTTCCCACATCATAGCTAAATGTTTATGTGGTGAATTGTTTCCTCGTTCTTAGTGGCCTACACCCATCATGTTCCACATTCAGCTTGAATCCCCCACTTTGCTGGACATTGGTTTTCTATTTAAGAACTACTTTCTTATGATTTCACATTTTATCCTATCTTTCCATTTGAAAATGACCAACTATATACCACAAAAATCGTTGTTCACCTATTTAATGACCATAAAATATGGTACTATAGCTTGGACTCCTTTCTAAACCATCATCTCTCTAGTAGGAGTTTCCGTTACCGCAACAGTGGAGGCTATGTCAAAAGTATATATACTCCGTGTGTTTCCCACCTGAAAATCATGTTCCACCTAGGACCCATTCAATCGCCATAATATATACATATACTGTACACATACACATAGACTATAACTAATGCATATATATATATATGTATAGACTCCATTTCTTGGCAAACTTCTTAACCATACCCCCATCAATGTGTTCTGCACATCCCAGTTCCCTTCACCACATCCAGGGCTCTGGTGCCCGTGCGGCGCGGTCCCTGCGTGCTGATGCATCGGACAGCAGACTGTGACTTGGAAACGTTGGGAATTGGGAGAGGTATACTGTTATGGATATATCTGGGTAAATTATAACGACCTCACTGCGACCTCACTATAATCATAGTTAGTAAGGGAAATCATCCCCAAATTGCCTTAATTCAGGTTAGTGAAATATTGTAATTTACCCAGATATATATATATATAGATATATATAGTTCACAATTAACCCAGAGGTAAACATATTTATAATATATGGACGTTTGCTAAAATGGTGGTACTTCCAAATGGATGGTTCATGATGGAAAATCCCACTAAAATGGATGAGAACTGGGGGTACCCCCATTTATGGAAACCTCCATATATATTATGATAGATACTATGATACATACTAATTGTACATACTGTTATTCAATTTCTTATTCAACCTTAGTGAGGAGTTGAATTACTATGGGGGATCATGCTACCCAATAGATTGGGGATTATAGCAATCCATTTTATGGAAACACTATACTCTTTGGATGTATGATGTTTTTTTGATTTAAATTGTAATTGTTTACTTTACTTGTGGTAACGTTATGTATTATATATACTAATTATTGTTTAAGTTGCAATATTTATATGTGGTGTATTGTGGTGTGTGTTATTTGTTTATATGTAGTACATCGACTATTTATATCACATCGTTTCGAAGAGAGCAACAGCATCGCCAACTGTGGGTGACTTGGTCGGGCATTACCCTCTGGTGAACTAAGCTAACTATGGAACATCACCTATAACTATAGTGGTGATAAGCTCATTACATGACATTATATATAGTGGTGATATAGCTATGTGGTATTTACCTAACTGGTGAACTTTTTTGTGGTAACTCAACTATAAATGGTCCATTTTCCAGTTCGCTATGTTAGTTTACCAGAGGGTATGAACTGTTCCATACTTGGGAAGTTTCTTAAAATGTGGGACCCCAAGTCCCCATGGGTGTCAATACTAAGTCATGGTCTGCTTGGGTGATTTGGTGGTACCCCCATGACTTAGGAAACCTCTAAGTAGCCACCGTAAGGAGACAGGTCCCAGCAGTGACAGGTCCCTGAGCTGCAGGACTTTCTGTAATTGTTTTCAGTTCGGCTTTGCTACAATGTGGGGCCCCCCGGTGATGTTTTTGGTCTATAAGGCTCATGAATAAGTATCATAAACTGTATATTTGGAGTTATACCCGTTATACCCCAATTTCCCTATCTAGAGGTCTCCACTTTGCTATTAGTTTGTTTATCAACATCAACATTCGATAGGTCTGTAGGAAATCTGTACTTTGTCTGGCGATTGCCTGTTGATTGCAAATTGGAAAACCCATTCTCTTCGTGAAAAAGTATCTTGATCAAAATCAATATGGCTCATGAGTATCAAACATTTGCAACCCTTCTCTTTTTAAAGCCCACAATTGTTCCAGCCTTTGTCAGAACATTCTCGATGATGGCCACAAGTTGAAGGAAACTTGCTGAATTATGCTGATTTCAACATTTTTCCAACATTTTTCCAACATTTTTCCGACATTTTTCCAACATTTTTCCAACATTTTCCCAACATTTTTCCAACATTTTTCCAACATTTTTCCAACATTTTTCCAACATTTTTCCAACATTTTCCCAACATTTTCCCAACATTTTTCCAACATGTTCTCCTAACTGTCTCGATTGCAGTCGTTCGAAATCGATGAGGCCTCAAGTGGATTCTCCTCCGAAAGGCACAGCCGGCAGGTAACTGTGGCAGGTAAAGCCCAAAAAAACGGTGTTTTTTATGCATGGCCCATAGGATCCATGTATGGTATATATGCTAACATTGGGGGTATATTGATGGTAAATGTTACCATATATAGCATACATGGATCCTATGGGTAAGACTATGGAAAAAATATGGGTGAAACAAAAACATACCCTCTGGTAAACTAACATAGCTATGGAAAATCACCATGTTCAATGGGAAAAATAAACTATAAATGGGCAATGTTCAATAGCAAACTGTTAGTTTACCGGAGGGTAAATGGTATGTCTGTTTAACTTGTTTTAATGCATAAGACCATGTTGAACTATGGGTATAAACAGACATGACATTGACATATCGAAAAAACACCATTGCGTGGAAAATGCCGCCCCAATTTGTTACAACTCGGCAGACAACATTATAAAATACCTATAACATACCTATAAGATACCAATACATCACAACATAGCATGTCAGATGGGATTAATACATTCCTCCAATTATTGAGCAACCCCCTAGAAACTATGGTGTTGAATAAGGATTGGAACACATATTTGGGACCATTTTGGGGACATACATATTTATAAAATTGTATAAATCTGAATTCCAGTATAAACATAAAATATGAAACATACGTATTAAATCGTGTTAAGATTGATTCCTATATACAGATATACACAATTATGTAGTTAGAAATGTACCTCCAGATAATCCACCCCAAAAAACTAACCATGTTGAACTAATATGAGGTTAAACCACCATACATCTAATGCCTACTTGGAGGGTCTAGCTATAACACAGATCACAATCACATGATATGCTATATATATATAACCAAATGGTGCCCTAAATCGTGCTACTGTTACAGGCCATGGGCCACACACAATTCATATATATATGATTATATATGTGTATAAAAATCACATGATATCCCCCATGGTTAGGCCTGTTTATCACCAGATGGGATTGGAAGACTTCGGCGAAAGGCCCTTCCGGGATGAAACCGCGAAAGGAGAAGATCACCACGCACGCAGGGCGCGGATGGGTTTTGGTGCGCGGATGGGATGAAACATGTTGAGTTAGTGATGGCTGAAGGTCAAAAAACTATGGTTTATGGTAGATATAACTATTGTTAATGGGGGTTGCAATGGTTTGAAAACCAACTTATAACTCGGGCCCCAGTTCATTAGCTAAGATGGTTTATATCACTATAAAAGGGCTACGATGTATGATGGATATATCGAACTAGTTAGATGGGTTAATAAACCAACTCATAACTAGTGCGCACCTTCCTGTATAGATTATTATGTTATTTGAATGTCCATTTTTGTGGGATTAACCAGCCAGCCATGTTTGATTACCAGAGGGGATATATCTATAGTTGGACAGGGCTATGGCATTTTGAACCCAAGTTCTAAACTGGGGCAGCCCTGTTGCACATGTGAAGTCCAAGAATCTGGATTTTACCAGCTTTGCTGTTGGGTCGGGGATGAATGCACTGTTTCTACCGGTAAGATGGCTGAACATCGACCAGCGGATTACCAGAGTTGCATCAATTTGTGGGAGCGGTGAGGTATGTGGCCGAAATGACCGGTGAATATGGGTGAATCGCAACTGATTGGTGGTTTGGAGCATTTGGATTATGTGATGGTTAATAGTGGTTAATAGTGGTTAATAGTGGTTAATAGTGGTTAATAGTGGTTAATAGTGGTTAATTGTGGTTAATAGTGGTTAATAGTGGTTAATAGGCTATAAACCAACAACTATGGGAATATTATGGTGATCTGCTTGGTGGTGACTGGAACATGAATGGATGATTTTTCCATATAGATTGGGAAGAATCATCATCCCAACTGACGAACTCCATCATTTTTCAGAGGGGTAGGTATACCACCAACCAGGTAAGATTTTTACCAACAAAAAACGCTGATGTTGAGACGCTTCTTGTGCACCATCCGAAATCTTCGATCGTGCACGTGGACGGCATCTCAATCTCGGCGTCGTGAAGATCCATCATTCTTGGTAGGATAGAACCGCTTGGTGTCAGACGATACAAGAATTGAGATGGGAGCTCCACATCCAACCACTATAGAGCTCCTGAAGGCCTCAAGTTTGATGGCACCTGAGCTGTGACGACCCATTGTGGGACTCCCCTGCTTAGGGCCCTTGGAATTTCAACTGCTAACTGGCTAAGTGAACTGGGATTATCACCCAGTTACTAACTAACATAATAACAGTTACTAACTGTGGTAGTTACTAACTATAGGATTATCACCCAGTTGCTAACTATAGGGATAATCATGTGGATAGTAGCTAGTAGTTACTAACTACTCAACATTACTCAAATAATCCCGTGGCCCATCCAGGTATCAACCAACCAGTGAGACGGCATTTTGTTCAGGCCAGAAATGCTGGATGAAACCACACCTCCGGAGAGTTTCGACGTGCGACATCGCCCCCTGGCGAAGTTGGAGGGGTCGGGAGTTGGACTCCTCAGTTGTTCGTGTCAGGGATGGGTCTTCCTGTTCTGCCATCCTAGTAATTACCCTCTGGTAAACTAACAAAAAACTATGGAACATCACCATTTTTGATAGGTAAATCAACTATAAATAGCCATGTTAAATAGCTATGTTAAATTACCAGAGGGTATATATATAGTTATATATAATTATTCCTGGAACCCCACTGGTTTAGCTTTGGATCGATTTTATTTTGGTGTGCCACAAGGGAGGGATTGAATAAGACTATAGGGGGAAAGGATCAGTTAATTTTGAGTTATGCCTGGTCACCTGCAAAGATGGGCCCGGACAATGGTGGGTAGTTGGGGACTGCAATTGAAAACAAAGCAATGCATGGTTTGGCGGCTGGCGCCATATAATTTGACCCATACCCGCCTTGAACCCCATGGAACCAGAAATACATGCTGGTCATATTATGTTGTCATGCTAGTCAACATTTTCCTACATCAAAAATGGTTGGAAACGGAAGGAAACGGCATTTATGTCTACTTGTTTGGGGTCCAGGCAAACATGTTTGGGGTCCAAGGGTCCAGACGTCCAGGGGCATGCTGCCTGGTGTGTGAGAAGAGCCATATCCCAATAGTGTTCCCAATATCTCTTGGTGAATATCCTCATTGATTCATGATCATGGCCCCGTGTTGACAATGCAGGAAACACAATTATGAGCATAAAACGCCCCCCAAGTGGTGACAAGCCAGAGTCAATAATTTAGCCCCATACCCAAACGTTGCAAGAATCCCACATATGCCACATGGATAGGAAAAAAACAACATACATTTATTTTGAGGTTGTTTTAAATTATTCTACCCAATCATTTCCATAGTTTCCAGGTCTCTAATTGTTCGATCTATTCTGGGGTGCTGTACTTGTGCCTCAAAATCATTGGATGCTCCAATCTTCAAAATCACGACGTACCAAATGTCAATGGATTGGTTTGAGGGAAAATTTACAGGAAAGCCCCATATTTAGTGGGAAAATCTATGGTTTCCTGTAGATTTTCCCTTAAACCAATCCATTGAAAATGGGGGAAGGGCCAGTCGTCCCTTTGTTTTTCGCCCCATCCATTGGATGTCTTTGTGATTTTCATGGGTTTGCCAAACAAGCGGTACATACCACATACCTCAGTAGTTCAAACATCCTGTTCATTCCTTGTTTCCCATCAAACCTGGTTTCAAAACCCACATCTTTCCGCATGTAAAGCTGACTTGGAAACCACATCTTTCCCCACGTAAAACTGTCATTTTCCCCATTTCCCCCATGTCAAAGGGCTGTTTTTTGCCCACGAACTCCAACGGTGTCTCCAGGACTTGACGCCTCGCGCAGCGCCATGATGCTCCGATTGCTGAGACAAGTGCCACAAGAAGCGCTCGCACAGGTGAGGCTATGTGCTGCTACGGTCGTTCACCCAGTTTTTTCGATGTTTTTCTCACCAATTTCATGAACTATACCCTACACATTTCATGAAATACCCAGTTTTTTTGAGCTATACAAATTATAAGCTGAATTGGTCAATCATGGTTTAAAGGGGTAAACCAAGTGACATTTTTCGGAAAAGTGGGATGTACCACACTGTGATGAGATTCTATCGAGGGCTATCAGTCAAGCCATTGGGGCCGCATTTTTGTGAACAGCTTCGGAGTTGTGAATGGTTTGTGGTTGGTCTTCAGCATTTTTCATGTGTTAAACCAACTTAAACCCGATAGATCTGAAGATAACAGCTGGTTGGTGGTTTGGCACATTTTTTAATATTTTTTGTTTTTCCATATATTGGGAATAATCATCCCAACTGACAAAATATTTTTCAGAGGGATTGAAACCACCAACCAAACAGTTTGTTGAATCCAAGTGATCAATGCATGTTTGAGATTTTTAGTCAACAGACACAAAGAGTAAACTCAGGCATGCACATGGCCTATTGTCGGAAAACACGCAGAACTTGTCAACTCACTAGGTATTCATCAACAAGAAATCATAATCTTGTGATGTCTACCAGGTCTTTTCTTGAAAATTGAACACATATCCAGTCCGGCATAGGTGTTACATACATATGTTTGTTCAACCATAGTGGAGCCAGGAAAAACTATCTTTGTTTATTGGTAAATATAGGGTGTCACACTAAATGGTGTATTTTTGTTATAATGAACTGATGCGTCATCAATGGCATACCCGTTTATACCATAACAAGTATTTACCCATCATGGTATGGATCAATCAATACCTATTAATACCATTTTTAGGGGAATGAACGGAATGAACATCCGTTTTAACCCAGCTATGACTTGATGTGAACAAAAAAGGGGTACAACATGGGTTTTGACACACTGCCATATAGGATATTCCCATTTTGCTGGTTATATCAGATAGTTTTTTTCCGGTAATCCTATGATTCTCACTAAATGGTGTATTTTTGTTATAATGAACTGATCATCAATGGCCCGTTTATACCAACCATAAATTTACCCATCAGAAATTCATGGCATGGAAAAAAAACAACGGCCTGCCGTCGGTTCCACGTCGTCGGCCACACGTCAGAGGAGCTGAAAGACGTGGGCGTGTCGGTGGAGGCGTTGGACAAGGAGGGCCTCGTTCAGGCCGTGGTCCAACAGCTCTCCTGATGCGGAGTGCCTGACGCGGCGTTGTGAAACAACGGGGGAAAACAATGGGGGGATGAAACGAGGTTGGAATAACTTAGTTGGATATATGATATATCTGGGTAAATTATAACGACCTCACTATTCTCCCTCACTGGGAATCATGGTTAATAAGGGGAATCATCCCCAGCCATGGCCGAACTATTCACGTTAGTGAAATATTATAATTTACCCAGATATATGATGGAAACTTATTGTATACAATATGTCTCACTATAATTATTGGTATGTCATGGAAACTTCTATTACTATTGTGATAAACCATCATATTTATTGATAAACTATGTTGGATATATGTTAAGGAAACTTATTGTGATATATTCAGAATATCCATGAATATCCACTATAACATTGTGATATATATATACCATGAATCAGAATTAAAACATATTGGACAAACTATGGTGATCTAGTGTTTTTGTGAAAGGAATGGAGAACTTGTGGAGAACTTATGGTTCTTGTTTGAAAGGAACAATGATGAAACAATGATGAAACATGTTTTTTTTTTTTATTTCAGTCAAGAATGGTGGTTTAAACCAAACACAATGGGGAATCAACCAGCCTGAGTTGACCAATGGTAATGGCACCAGCGTGATGTAAGAAGTCGTTTTTTTGCACATCCCAGAAACATAAGACACGTCAATTCCTTCCTAAAACCCGCTAAAACAGTGGTAAATAACTCTTCTATCTTTGAAATAACTATATTTAGGCTATATATACATATATATATATATAATTATATATATATATTACATATATATATATACATCTTTAGTTCATATCCCACTTCGCTGCAAGATACGGGCTGTCCGCCTGGCTGCCTATCCAGTTGAGTTTCCCGTAACATTGGTGTGTTGCAATTCCGAACTTTCGAAAAAGGGTCCCTTCTGGAAAGTTCCGGAAGAATCCAGAAAAACTACCATCTGGTTATGACTAACATAGCGATGGAAAATCCCCAAACTAAATGGAGGTTTCAAACGCTGGGAAAATCATCCATTTCTATGGGCCATGGCTTCCATGGCTATGTTAGTCATAACCAGAGGGTATGTACCATGTGGAGCTTTCCGAAGTCATGGGGTGGCCCCAACAAAAAAATCCAAAGCTGTCGACCATGACTTAGTATTGAAACCCATGGTGACTTGGGAATTCCCCATTACAAGAAACCTTCATCTGTTTTTTCCCATACCCTCTGGCAAACATACAAAAAACTATGGAAAATCGCCATTTTCAATGGGAAAATCCACTATAAATGGCCATTTTCAATAGCTATGTTAAATTACCAGAGGGTATCTTTTCTCTTTATGTCTTCAGATGTCAGTTGTCAAACATATCCAAACCCGGCTGGATACGAACCACGCCAGACGGCCGCGGAAAAATCAAACGGCCCGTTTTTTGATCCGCCAATCTTCGGGGCGGTGTTGAAAACATCGGTCCGGGATGTCGCGGTGACGGTGAAGGTCTCAGTGATGTTCTTTTTTGCACGACATCATGACCAACCAAGACACAGAAGTGACATGAATTTTACTTTTGGACACTGAAACATTGAAATTGAGAACTGGTTGGTGGTTTCAAACATTTGGATTATTTTTCCAGTCAGTTGGGAATGTCATCATCCCAACTGACGAAGTCCATCATTTTTCAGAGGGGTTGTTTTACCACCAACCTGAGAATTTATTGTTAAACATCCCCAAATCGAGGGTGAAGTTGGCAGATCCGCAACAGCATAGAGTCAAGGTGAACTATCTAGTAGAACACATTACCCTCTGGTAAACGTTTACATCAACTATGGAAAGATCCACCATGTTTAATGGGAAAATTCACTATTTCGACTGGGCCATTTTCAATAGCAAACTGTTGACATAACCAGGCCGGGTATTCTGATTTTTAAGAAATATCAATGTTTACCCTCTGGTAAACTAACATAGCTATTGAACATGGCCATTTCTAGTGGATTTACCCAATAAAAATGGTGATTTTCCATAGTTATGTAAACGTTTACCAGAGGGTATATTTGTGCGTCAAACAGAAAGGTTGTCCTACAATTTTTCCATTTGAATAAAATCAACTCAGTTTACTGTAACAATTATGTCAATAAATATGTCAATTTTCCATAACACTCAGCCATGGTCACCATGGTCTTGGTAGAATTGCGACCTTCTCCGTCCTTGATTCTTTAAATATTTTCAGGCCTCCTTTCATTGAAAGGTGGCACCAAGAAAAAACCACACGCTCCATGTGGGCCTGTGGATAGCATGAGGTGGACATGGTTGAGCATCGTACCCTCAGGTTTTCTACAAGCTGGTGCCCCTAAGCCTTAGATAAGTTGGTCAGTTCCCTGGGTGAATTCTATGGTTTATGGTGCGTATATATATATAATGTTTATATTTATAATATATACATATACTGTATATATATCGAACTAGTGAATTAATGGTGTGAAACTAAACCAACGTTCACATCACTAGTTTCCATGCACTTTCTTGTAGGACATTCCTCAAACTCCTGGAAATTCTTCATGGTGTTGCTATATTCACAGAACTGGGCCTGGGCTACGGGCGTCAATCTGATTTTTTTTGTTCATAATTTGTGAACTATTTGCTGCTTGGTGGTTTGGAACATTTTTTTGCCATTCAGTTGGGAATGTCATCATCCCAACTGACGAACTCCATCATTTTTTAGAGGGATAGGTCAACCACCAAGCAGTTTGGGATTGGTTCATCCACCATTTTGGGGATTGCTTCATCCAGCAATTTCACCAGGGAAATCCTAGCCTTTTGGATCGTCCACCACTTCGAAGTCACCACACCTCAAGGGTGGACTTCAGAAGGACCGTAGATCTCGGATCTCGGATCTCGGGCACCAAAAAGGCTGGGTTTTCACAGCTTGGCCATGGAGGTTCCGGGCAGAGTTGTGAAGGAATCTGATGGGATGAGAAGAATGGAGAAACAGGAGGCGAGTTGAATTTCTGTAGGTTCCAGATGGTTATATAGAGTGGTGGCATTTCAGATAATAACTTAAAGGTCCCAAACAGTACCTGATCCAAGATGATCTCAGCACCTAGAATCCTAGAAAGAGTCGAACAGAAAACTTTGACTATTCAGATAGCACCCAAATGGATGGCTTTGGTGTTTTACTCTGGAAGTATCTTGACGCCATCCAAACCGGGCCAAACGATGACTGTCCCTGCGCTGCCTCTCAAGTCGTAGATGTAGAAAAGGCGCTTCCACGCGCCGCGCCGCGCCAACGGAGCGCGCCAGACGTCAGCAGGTAGGGCAGATAAGTTGGGAAATGGTGGCACTGAACAGAACAGATCCTCTTAATATTTAGCCAAACCAGATCAAACCACACCTGATTGGTGGTTTGGAACATGTTTATTTGTCCATTCAGTTGGGAATGTCATCATCCCAACTGACGAAGTCCATCATTTTTCAGAGGGGTAGGTATACCACCAACCAGACACTAATTAATTGTTAGTGTTTGATGATACAAATCCAGTCTTTATTGGTGCAACCCCCATTCTTGTTGGAATTTCCGTAAGTTTCATGGTGAACAAAAAACCTGATCCCCCACACCAGGTTCCCGCCGCGGCTGCCGCGGCAGCCGGGCAGGCGTTTTCGAGGCCTGTGCCCCACCGGGGTTTTGGAGGGGCGTGCGAAGGAGAAGGGGAAACTATGGGAAAATATGGGGAACACCCATCCATTATGGGAACATCTATAAATGAGGGACTTCCAATTGCTATGTTTGATTGCTGGAGGGCACTCAAAAAAATCACGGGCGATCATCTTTTTTCAAATCAAATTTGGATCATTGTGGAGCATGTTCCCTATAATTTTGGGAGAGAACACCCATTTTGTGGATCCTTGAAGTGAAGCCTCAGGTTTTGCATCCTTTCAGCATAGATTTCCTGATCTCAATCAACTTTCAGTCGTCTCCAATTCTGATAATTCTAAGAATTTGTGTATTTCTCACATCTTATCAACCCTATTTATGTCTCAACATCTCTTAGTAAATCACCATTTCTGCATAGATTTGATGGTTTAAAATTCAAAGTAAGCACTATTTTTGGAGGTTAAGTAGCCATTTTTATCCAATTTGTTGAGGTTCTTAGATCTTTTTTTAATCAATTTTTAGGTTGGTGAAATCTCCATTTTCCTCTATCTTTTGGTGGTCATTGCTCTTGATTTCTGCCTGGCTGAGAGTGAGGCGCCATGTCGATGACGGCGTCAAAGGCCGCGGAGCTCATGAGAAGAGTCCGGGGGCGTAGGGGCGAAGGGCAGGGGATGGGGATTTAATGGTTAATGCATGTTAGTAATGTTTAATTATAGTGGTGAATCATGGTTAATCATGATTTACTGTATTGGATTTGATATGGGGTTAAACAGGTGTTCATTAGATTTACATAGTACAACTACTCTAATATGTACAGCACTTAGATCTTAAAATAAGAATGTTTCATAACAAATTATAGCCAAACAAAAAGATGATTTGAACTTGAACAAGGAATTCTTCAGTCAAAATGTGATTTCAAGAAGCAACATACCCAGTGATGAGTAGATTTCACCAGCCAAAATGAGAATAACACCACGTAAAGTTTACGTGTCGTCACCTGTCAAATGTGCAATTACCCTCTGGTTATGACTAACATTGACTAACATAGCCATGGAAAATGGATGACAATGGCCCATTTATAGATGGTTTACCTATTAAAAATGGTGATTTTCCATGGCTATGTTAGTCATAACCAGAGGGTAAGGCTTGAAGCTTCACAACTGTCACGTCCAAAATCCCAAGCTGGATGTTCTCAACCAAGGCTGGCGGCGACCTCGCATCCAAAGGCGGGAGTGCTGTTGGGACTGGTTTGTCATGGGTAAATATGCTACGGAGAATGATATATATTTTTTTTTTATATATTTTCGGGTTTGAGGCTTAAGGATGATTATTATTTATAGGCAAGTATGACAAATGACAAATATTCAGGGTCTTACCGCAACACATACTATCATAGATGTT